CGTCAGAGCAGATAAATGTATGTGTATAAATGCCCTTGGTCTTTTATATGCGACTGAAGTGCCTAATTCACTTCCTATGTCACAGAATGTATCCCAACTCCATATAAGTTGCGGTTATCACTACACCACTTTATCTGCAATAACCAAATTAGACTGTAGCAGCAGTGTAGTCTAGTGAGTGATCAAAACTTCTGAGTTTTACTATTGTGTATGCCAGGGACTCATTATATGGCAGTGGGCAAGACACTTAACCTCTACGTCTCCATTTTCCTCTCTGGAAATTGGGGCTGGTGTATGTATATTACAGAGAGGTGAAATTCAGTTAATTAACATTTTCTGAAGTATTTAGAGAGTTTTAGATGAAAGGCATAAAAGAATTATGTATTTTTTCAGGGCCTTTGATCTCTTCCTTTTTGTAAATGTTTCTTTGCTGAAGGTAGGAATTTTAAGGGTTTCCCTTTTAAGGAAGGGATAAATATAGGACATATCCTTTCTGGTCTGGAGATATACTGTAGCCTTAGGTGGGATTGACATGGTGCATCGATTACTGCAGTGCCAAATCCACAAAGATACTTGGGTCTTGTAAAGCTCAGTGTTGGAACATCTAACAGGTACTCTTTCACCAAGAGAAAATAAGGATCTTGAGTTGGATATCCAGGCTTCCTGTACAGTTCAGTGGGAAGATGAGAAACCCACAAACTGATTTGGAAACTGTCCAAGGTAGTCAGTGGGAAATGCCCAAGAGAAGGGCAAGGGTTGAGCCCCATCTCTCAAAGGTACATAGGCACCTACCTCCAATCAGAGTTCTCTGCTGTGAGTCTTCTCCAGGGGTTAGGTGCCTAAATCAGGTTATCTTCTCTCAAAAACCAAGGAAATGGGAAATTCCCTACCCTGTTATGACCAATAACTCAGTTGTTAGTGCATTCACATAGTATGTTCAACATGAAGGGAAATTATAGAGAGGATGGAGATGGGTTTTTGTCTCTGGTCATAGGGGACTGGATTAGGATGAGTGACCTCAAGATGCAGCAGAGGAAATATAGGTTGGAGATTAGGAGGAACTTTCTGACTAAGAATGTGGTCAAGCACGGAACAGACGACCTAGAGACGTTGTGGAATCTCCACCCTTGGAAGTTTTCAAGAGCAGGTTGAAGAGACTTGGCTGGGTTGGTTTAGTGAGGGATGTTCCTGCCTTGAACAGGGGGCTGGACTAGATGACTTTGTGAGATCCCTTCCAGCCCCACTTTCCTATGATCCTAAGTCTTTGCTCCTAATCTAACAGTGGGGATTTGTGAATGGGTCTCCCATGTTCCATTGCTCTTAGTCATTAGGCTATTGCTTTTAATGGGGCATGTGCGCATACACATCCAACCAACCCTCCAAAAATCCTTGTTGGCAGCTGTCTTTTGTATGAAGCTTCATCTGACATGCAACCATGAGGACACCTACCAAATTCCCCATGGGTAGGGGAGTGCTTTGAGAATGCTGCAGGGGTTTAAGCAGGGACTAGGTTTTTTAGGTAGTGCACGGATGTCAAGAGTTGGGTGGCTGTGAGGATGCTCGGGAGCAGAAACTTGAGTATGTAGAGAATTTTACCAGTGGAAATTTGGGTGCCTGCAGGGTTATATGGTGGCTGATAGGGTATCTTAATGGTTTCTCTTGTATTTGAAAGTTGAGCTAAGGCATGGGTCTGTCACTTCAGGTGGCTCAGTTCCTTAGCACTTCAGTCATCAGTTTTATAAAGCCAGCACAACCCAGCTTGGGATGGAGACAGGTTGGCACTTCCAATGTGGCCGCTGCTGCCACCAGTGCCCTCACTTCTCCTCAGCACCCAGCTGCAGCATGGGTGAAGCCCCCCACTGCTGAAATGCCATCAAAGCCCCCCTTCTCCCCACCTGCCCTGGCTCCTTGGACTGGATCTTATGGCTCCAGCCTGCAAACAATATGTTGTCAACCTCTACCTTAGCAGATTTAGCCTAGTATCTATGAACTGATCGATCACTAAGCCAGACTGCATCTCATGGTTCCAGCTTTCCCCTTGGCTCAGTGGTCACATTAGCAGAGTTGTGCACAGCTCCAGGCTATCTATTATGCAGTTGTTTCAAATCCAAGACAAATGTACAGGGTTTAGTTAACTTTGAATGGAGCATGGTTGTACAATAACCCTTCTCTTCTGATATGTCAGCCTCCTTTTAGAGCACTGAGGAAAGCAGTGAAGGACGTGTGCCCCTTGACATTTTCAGAGGCCGAGCATGAAGTCCTCTGTCTTGTTGCCAACATAGACAGTGCTACAAATCAGTGTTTGTTTCCAAAGTAATAGCCATAAAGATTGAAGTTGCTCTTTTAGGTGACTGTTTAGTTGTTTACTGTAGTTGTGGTATATCAGAGAAGTCTCTCTTCCCTCTTCTTCTGTTTTTTATATTCATAAAGCTAACCCTGGAGCCAGCAAAAAATGATACAGGTTGTGCTGACAATCTGATTGTAACTGTCAGGGAAGTTTGATTTAACTCCTGTTATACACACGCTGCTAAGTGTGTTATGGCAGAGCTATGGAGAAAGGAAGAGTGGCAAAATGACCAACTCCTTAAATATTTTAGTACTGGAGTGCTCTTGAAAACTCAAAATAAGTCCTACTGTGGCAGCCTCTTTGAAATGGCTTTTATAGTAGTTGCCTGAAGCTCTGGGATGTTTTGGTGTAGAAACACATTTCTTTATCTGTCACTCACAAAATAACTATTTAAGAAGTGTGATGTGTTCATGTGTGTGCACCTGCATGCACAAAGACCACAGGATGGCTTGAAAATAGTTTTTTTCCCCTATAAGTTTTGTCCCTTGATTACTCTGAAATGGAGTAATTTCAGCCAGTTAGTATGTAGGGATTTTGTCTGCTTATTGAGTCATATTTCCACACTTATTTCTCATTTATGCAATTATACCTACTCACATTGGCCAACTCACATAATGCCTTATGGGCATTTCTCAATAACTGGATAGCATGAAAATCCCTTGAGTCTAACTGACACCCTTTATTAGCCAATCAAGGGTAAAAGGATTTTTATGCTTGCTGCGGTTATTACTCAAGGAGTGCATAGCCATTGTGCAGGTTATTCTACTGCAGTGTTAATATCTCTTGGCCACAGTCTGTAAATATATCAATCCTCAGAGGCAAATTCTGATTTCCATTACACTGATGTAAATCTGGAGTAGCTCTATCATATTTCACAGCCCACATGGCTATCACAGCTTCTGATATTGCCCACCTAAATTCATGCACTCCTTATTTCTTGTGGGTGGGGGGAAGCTCAGTATACCACATACAGTAACCGGAATTCCTTTTGACATTCAGTTTAAGCAAGGATTTTTACTTTAATGAAACAACAGCCAAAGACTGTTTGTAGAGCCATGTCTCCCAAAGAGGTCATCTTGAAGCATAGAATTAGTTCTCTATGCTACTGTTGGGTGCAGTCTGGTGCATAGGGCTGTATTTTGTAAGATCTGGATACAGTGTTTGGGGGTTATTCACGTGGAAATTTAAACCTTTGCGTTCCATCAGGGTTGCAAGGGATTCCTTCCTTCCTTCTTTGTGAAGCTAAAGTTTATGAAATGGACTGATGGTATTTAAGCGTATATGAAGTTTATTTTAGCTGATGGTAACATACAGATTCTTCCATGCATGGGCCAAAATTAGGGTCTTGATTTCATCACTGCATTCACATGGTCAGATCTTTGTGTTCATGTAGCAGCCATTTAAAGTCAACAGCAGTCCATGGAGGCACAAAGATTCACTTGTACAAACCTGTCTGTAAGATCAGAGATGAATCTATCACTTCATTTCCATTCTAAGGTTGTGTCTGACCCGGACTCTGAATTTCACAAAACTGCTCATGTGTGCTGGAAACTTTTCTTGCATGACCGCCAGGTGGATGCGATTTATTCTAAGTGTAATGTAACCTTGTGGTTTTCGCTCAAGACAGAATTTAATAATAATTTGGAAACAAGACAGGAATAAAGCAGGTCATTGGCGCTGTTCCACTTGGTTGTGTCTGACAACAAACTAATGAGCGGTGCTTCCATTCAGGGGTTGCGGACCTGCCCTGGCTCTGCAGAAACAGTGGCAAATGATGGCTATCACTGGGCAAGAACTAATGTAAACCCCTTTTCCAGTTTCACTGTGGATGCGTACTTTGTGTGCCCTGGCACAAGCAGCTGCAGTGAGAGATTCTTCCAGGGTTAATACAGTATTGGACAGCACAGGATCAGTTTCTTAAAACATGATCTGTCTTGGCTGTGCTTCAGTGCTGAGCTAGAGAGGGAGAAGGTCCGCTATTCAGGGAGCTGCTCTTAATTCCTCCTGCCTGTTGATAGACAGATGTGCTTTCCTGGCCAAGTGCTTGTTCTTGTGCAAGAAGACAGATACTCTTATGTTGGGGCAGTGCATAGGTCCTGCAGCTATCGTACCAAATCTGTGAGAAAGGAGAGAGGCAGTCTAAATAAATGAATGTACATGCAAGTTATGGATTTTCATAATACTGGATGGCAGTAAAGAGGTACAGTTCATATAATCCTCTCCTATTCTTCCAATTCCAGTTCCTAACACTTATATCAGGTCCAGAATATTTACCACTATATGAAAGTTTGTGCATAGGGCATTGATTATCCTCATTCCTAATTTTTAGCCCACATTATTATTATGCCTCAGTAGATGTAGCATCCACAAGGTAGGTCTATGGCCAATCCAAGTCAAACTCTAGTCCACAGTATATTTTCAAGCGGCCTACAAGGAGGGGCAGATGCATAGGTGGTATAAATCACTGCAGTCCCACTGCTCTGAAATGGAGTCTTTGATTTAAATCAGTTTTTAGCAGCTGAGAATCTGATCCAGTGTGGCAGATGCGGGCACCTCTGTTTAGTTCAGTTTGCCAGCTCTAAGTGTCTTGCGGTTGGAGAGGGCTGGGACTCCACCATTCTTATTCATTCTCTAAATATTTTTCTCCCAACAGCTCTGAAAAGTCCAGCTGCATTTCATGAACAGAGAAGGAGCTTGGAGCGGGCCAGGGTAAGACAGTTTATCCTTGGAGGTTAAAGGGAAGTCAAAAGTGGTGGGTGTCAAATCTGTTGTGCCAGACAACTCATAGCTGTAAATGGGATGGAGTAAGGGACCAGTCCATAGTCTGGAACCAGTACTTTGTCATGGCCAGAAAAATGTGTGAGACTGAGGATTTATTTATATAGAATGGTAGTTCCACCCTCACTGTACCTGGGCCTGACTACACTGCAGCTGCAAACAGTACCTAGAGTTCACCAGAGGGAAGAATTTGGGGAATGGCAGTATTTTTCTACCTGTCTACAAAAGCTTTTTGTGGTCATTCTTCATGGCATCAATTGTACCCACCCATTCTAAGCAGCTGTATCCTCCTTTGAGTGAAAATGCCTGGCTTCTGCATTGCATGTTGTTACCTAGATGACAGGTAACCTTCATAGATTTTATAGACATCAGGGCTGGAAGGGACCTTGGAAGATCATTGAGTTCAGCCCCCCGCCCAAAGGGCAGGAAGTCAGCTGGGGTCATAGGATCCCAGCAAGATAAGCATCCAGTTTCATCTTGAAGGTGTTCAATGAAGGCGCTTGAACCACCTCCGGTGGCAGGCTGTTCCAGACCTTGGGGGCTCGGACAATAAAGAAGTTCTTCCTTATGTCCAGCCTGAAACGATCTTGAAGTAGTTTGTGACCATTCGACCTCGTCATCCCTTGGGGCGCTCTGGTGAACAAACGTTCCCCCAGATGCTGGTGGTCACCCCTGATAAACTTGTAGGTGGCCATCAGATCACCCCTGAGCCTGCGTTTTTTCAGGCTAAAGAGCCCCAGGGCTCTCAGCCTGTCATCGTAGGGTCTGCTTCCCTGACCTCTGATCATGCGCGTGGCTCTTCTCTGGACTCTCTCAAGCTTCTCCACATCCTTTTTGAATTGTGGAGCCCAAAACTGGACACAGTACTCCAGCTGCGGCCTCACTAAGGCCGAGTACAGGGGGAGAATGACGTCCCGGGATTTGCTTGAGAAGCATCTATGGATGCAAGCCAGATGAGTGAAGACATTTTTTTTCCCACGGACAAGTAACAAGGGCACACCTTGTGTTGTTGCTACTTGTCCCCGGGGAATGCCCATGCTACATGTGGCAGGTTAATGTGGGTGGGCGCATGCACACATGCAAGCACTTGTGCCTGCAGCAGCTCAAATAGAAGCAGTGCAAATTTGAGCCGGGGCTTTTTGCCTCAGAGCACATGCTTGGACATGCACTTTGTTGTGGAGCAAATTGTGCCACTTGGGGCAAAATAACCGGGTCCAAGGACAGAGCCTTGGGGGACCCCACTGGTCACAGGACACCACGATGAGTGACTTCCATCGATTACTACCCTCTGGGTCCGACCCCGGAGCCAATTTTCCAGCCAGCGGATCGTGGAGGACCCAAGGCGACAATTGGCCAGTTTCTCCAAGAGGCGATCATGGGTCACCAGATCGAAGGCTTTTTTGAAGTCAAGATATATGACATCAATCTCTTCTCCCTTGTCCAGGTGATAGGTCACCTGGTCGTAGAAGGAAATGAGATTGGTCAAGCAAGACCTACCTGCAACAAACCCGTGCTGGCTATCCCTTAAGATGTTGGCGTTGGCCAGTCCATTAAGGATGGCCTCTTTAATAAACTTTTCTAAGATCTTCCCCGGGATAGAAGTCAGGCTGATGGGCCTATAGTTAGCTGGATCCACTTTCCTCCCTTTCTTGAAGATAGGCACCACATTGGCCTTCTTCCAGTCTTCGGGCACTACACCAGAGCGCCAAGAGTTTTCAAAGATCCGTGCTAGAGGCTGGGCTATGATGCTCGCCAGCTCCTTGAGTACCCTGGGGTGAAGATTGTCAGGGCCGGCTGACTTGAAGGTATCCAGCTTCTCAAGATGTTCCTTCAGAAAGTCAGCATTAATGGAGGGCAGGGGATCACCCTCACCCTACCTTGTAGGTAGGGTACTGATAAAAGAGGCAGAAACAGGTTTGCAGCCCAACCTTTTATTTACTTGCACCTTAAAACATGAAAGTAAACATTTACCCAAGGTCTATCTGGGTACCCACAACAACACAGCATAGATTCTCACCTATACCAGGTGGGGAGACTCAAGAGATGGGAAGTGGGTGGCACGCAGATTGGCAGCAGCTCTTCTTGAATTTGCTGAGTTCTCCAAATTTGCCTCCAGCCTATGCCCAATATTTATAGATGACTGATTTTAACATTCAGATAAATGATCTCTGATTGGTTTCATTTAAATGTCTTTGTTCCACTGAAACTTTTGGAACTGGACTGAACCAGATCTCTTGTGAACTTGGAAGGTGTCAATTAGTTGAGCTGTATATATCCTTGGGAAAGAGGGAGGGTTTCTTATCTCCTTTTCTTCTCCACTGTGGAATGCTATTCTGGTTTCTTCTTTACCTTACTTTATGGTCTTCCCTGACAAGGCTGTTTTTGTTTTTACAAATTAAGCATTTTAACAAAAATACATCTATTATAACAGAATAACATCTAATACATTTGGTTACATCAGTCACTACTACTATTTTAAGATAAAGCTATGATATAGTGTATATAGATTATGTAATATATGGTCTTCCCTTATCTTCATTCAGGCCATGTGCTTTGTTTAATTGTGCTTGATGGCTTCCTTTACTTGCGGACAAAGTTAGTTGTCACATCTGCAAAGGTTTATGTTATGCTCACTCAGAAAAAGGCTTTGGACCTTCTGCTTAGCAACACTTCCGCAGCTTAGCATAAGCACTTTGAAAATGGCCAGTGCTGGCAACAATGTGCATTTCCCTTAGTCTCGGGTGCTCCCAAGCCCTGGGCATTTCTCTTTTCTAAAAATGACCGTGGGGATCCCACGTAGCCTTGAGTCGAGGCTAAAATCACAGACCTTGAGAAAGAGGAAGTCGAGAGAGACAGGCCCTGCACTTCATGCTGCTGCTGCTTGAACAGGAGATTTTCTTGATGATTTCAGTTCCCCAAAAGGCCTCTAGGGAATGTTATTCTGACCAGACCACTTGTTTTGAGAAGAAATTATTAATGCCTCCAAGGGTCCATTCCTGAAGTCTGTTCTTTGGCTTGTTGTACACTGCCTCCAGGCTTCCAGTCTCTGGGCTTGTCTGTAAGTGCCAAGAGCAACATGCTCAGCCTAGAGGTGCTTGTTTCTGTGCATTGCTGTGTGGCACTGCCTTTTCAAACAGAGCTACAAGCAGCCTCACAAGCCAGGGTGAGGCTTGTCGCAGAGTCCAGGTCCCGCGTGCATGGGGTCTCCAGTTTAACAAGCAGCCAAATTTACAACAAGAGGAGTACAGCCTACCTGCCAGCCAGCTCCAAATGCTAGCATTGTGTGTGCACCCTCTGCAAACACCTGAGCCAATACTCAACATCATAAATGTAAAAAGAAACACAGGGTATGTCTGTGCTGTCTCCTTAGTGCTTCCCTGGTTTGCCTCCTTCTGCTGTACACTTGCTGCTCACCAAAATATTTCTGGTTACTTTTGTGTCTGTGCCCAGAGATGCTGTCAGGATCTCGACCTTCAGCTTGCTCGTGAGAGCAGCAGTGGGTGCACCCAGATTTACTCCAACAGTGGCCATGCAACGTTCTGTCAGTAGGTGGACGAGAAGCATGTGGGCTCTGCTCTCACTGGGCTTCTTTCCTGGCAACAATCCCAGGAGAAAGAATATAAGAACTGCCGTTTGCTAGGTCAGACCATAGGTGTCTCTCAGCATCCACTCTCTGCCACTATGTGACAGGATAGGCAAGATGGACCTACGGTGTGACCCAGTAAATGGCAGATCTTCTGTGCTTGTGTCCATCCTGCCCAGTATCCTGTGTCACACAGACAGAGAGTGGCAGAGAGTAGGTGCTGAAAGGGAGAGTGAACAGGGTGTGACTAAGGTTTTTCCCACTGTTGCTCTCTCACTTGCAGTCTCCAGCATTTAGGGTCTAGGAAGTTCTGATTCAGAGGCTGCACCCCTCACTCTCATGCTGAATAGCTACTGACGCACCTTTCCTCTGAGAATCTGTCCAGTCCCTTTTTGAACCTAACTAAACTGTCAGCTCCCGCAGCACCTAGTGTCAGTGAGTTCCACATTTTAACTATAAGCTATGTGAAAAAAACTTCCTTTTATTAGTTTTAAACTTACTACCTCCTAGTTTCATTTTGTGACCCCTAGTTCTTGCATTGTGAGAGAGAGTTAATAATGCATCCCTATTTACTTTCTCTTTACCATTTAGTATCTTGTAAACCCTTACCACTTTCTCCCTCAAACCTCTCTTTTCTAAACGGAATGGGCCTAGCCTCTTTAGTTTCTCCTCATATGAAAGCCCCTCCACACCACTTACCATCCTTGTTGCCCTTCTCTGGACCTTCTTTCATTCTTTGATATCCTTTTTGAGGTATAGGGACCACAACTGGGCATGGTACTCAAGGTGTGGACGCACCGTGGACTTATAAAGGGACATAATGATACTTTCCATTTTGTTTACAGCTCCCTTCTTAATAATCCCTAACTTTTGTTTGCCTTTTTGATGGCTGCTGAGCACTAAATTGAAGTTTTTAGCGAATTGTCCACAATGGTTCGTAGGTCTCTTTCCTGTGTGGTAACAGCTAATGCAGAGCCCATCATAGTGTAGTTATAGTCTGGGTTATTTTTGCTCATTGCATAACCTTACACTTACCTGCACTGAATTTCATTTGCCATGTAGTTGCCCATTCACTTAATAGTGCCAGATCCTTCTGTAGTTCCTCACAGTCCTCCTTGGTCTTTACCACTTTGAATAATTTTATGTCATATGCAAATTTGGCTACTTCCAGATCATTTATGAATATGTTAGTATGGAGATAGTATAGGCCTACCCCTGAAAGCTTGGGCCATGTTGAGTAAGGAGGAAAAAGAGCTGAGGCTCTTGATGGAGCCCCTGTGTCTTGTTCTGCTGAAGGGCTGTCAACAGCTGTATCCTCTGCTGAAGGACCATTAGCAGCTGCATCCTTACTGGCTTCACTTACAGGTTTGGGACACAGAACAGGACATATGCCGTTGGGCAAACTGATCCTGTAGCATTGAGGGTTTACATACTGAGAGTAAGCTCTTGAAGGGAAAATGCATCCCCCCCTTTCCATGTGCAGTTTATTCATATGTAACAGTTAAGGATGGATTAAAAATTGAAATCCCCCGTGCTGTCCAGGACTGTCTATTCACTTGAGTTCAGTAGATTCTTGTTTGTCTCTGCTGCAGACGGAGGACTATCTGAAACGGAAAATCCGATCCCGGCCAGAGAGAGCGGAGCTGGTCAGGATGCACATTCTGGAAGGTATGGCACATAGTAAAGGGAAGGAGCCATCTACAGCATACATTAAATCATGCCAGGTGGTTACTCACTTGGACTTATTTCATCTTCCACCGCCAAGTCTCGTTCACCTGGGGGTTGATAAAGAGTGGCAGTCATGGCCCTCTAGGAAGGAGTTGCTACTTCTTTCATGGATCTATTGTGTAAACCCCAAACTGTGCACAGCTGTTGGGCCTGGAATAAAAGGAAAGTGGGGTGGATGTGGACTATTATTCTAGCCAGAGAACTTCTTAAAGTGTTCAAACAAGTAAGAAGATTGAAAGTTCAGCTAGAGAGCACGTGAGTCCAATTCTGGCATCAGAGATGGCCTTGATACACTGTATATGTATAAGGATGCAAATCAAATCAGAAGAGATGAACATGAGTTGAGTAACACCAGTCTGAGTGTAGGGGCCATGTCCCATCCCATGTCAGGAGTGCAAGCTTGTAAATGGAAGCAAAGTTCTGCAGTCACATGCAGGACAGGCCTTGTCTGATAACTTATTTACTTTCCCCGAGCAGAGACCTCAGCTGAACCCTCCCTGCAGGCCAAGCAGCTGAAGTTGAAGAGGGCCAGGCTGGCAGATGACCTCAACGAGAAGATAGCCCAGAGGCCAGGTCCCATGGAGTTAGTGGAGAAGAATATCTTGCCTGTGGAGTCCAGTCTGAAGGAAGCCATCATTGGTAGGAGCAGAGGATCTCTGTTTGTGAGGAGGTTCCCAAAGTGGGGTGGTATTTCCCATTGCATCCTCATTCACTTGCCCTAGAGAGTGCAGTCCTATGATGTCCTTTTTTTCTGGATCCCGGAATTATAGCCTCGTCTGTTTGGAATGCAAAACTTCCTCCCCAACTCAAATAGTGGTGAAAAGACACTAGACTTAAGGGATGTAGCTATCCTAGAACAATGTAAAGTTAATCCTGAAATCCCCATGACTGAAGAACTGCTATAGGATTGCATTTCCCATCTTGTGAATCCCCTGCTTCTTTGAAAATCCCTTTATCTGTATAGCTAACCTCTGTGGTCAAGGCCTGGGAGAACCCCCTGACTGTGTCAGATTAGGAGGTGGACAGACAGGGAAAATGAGGAAGCAGTTGTGGAGAGACAAAGGCTTTCCTTGGACCCCAAATCACCTGAGGATTCAACCTTTTAAAAATAAAGGAGCATAGACATAAATCACGCCAGGACCCTTTCCGGGGTAGAGAGGAATGAGAAGTAATAACCACAGCCTGGATATACCTTCCTCTTTCTCTCCCAGTACCTACTGATGTGGGCAGGCTGCATCAGCCTTAGCCACACTTTCCTCAAGCATAGACAGCCACTGGAGGCACTGTCACTTCTTTCAGAGATGAACACGGGTACACACATGAGCAAGGCTGCACGTAGGTCACTGTGGAGTGCAGGGCAGTGAGCCTGGCTTTCCCGTTCCACCAGCAATAGTCAAGGGAGAACAATGGATGAACTTGTAGTTGATACTGAACCAGAACATGAGAGGTCTGGGGGCTGTTCCTGGCTCTGCCACAGGCTCTTCTGTATGACTTTGAGCAGGTCACTGAATATTTTTACTTCAGTCCCTCATCTGGAAAATGAGGCTGATAATACTTTCCTGTCTGAGAGGGATGTCTGAGGATAAATCATTGTTTTTGGGGCACTGGGGAGGGCCTGGTAGGCAGGTAGAAGCACTATCTGCCATCAGGACCACTACTTTTGACTGACCCCAACCCTTCTTGGGTCTTCTAAGAGACTATCAACGACTCCTTGAAGAGAGGAATGCTATCTCCTACCCTGTAGCATATATACTGGCAGTAAAGTCACCACTACTTTACACTAGACTGCATACTGCTACCCAGTATCAGACTTTCCTTTTCTACTAATTGAGAGACAGCCAAAGAGTATCTAAATGCTCCTTATGAAGTGATATTGTCTGGACCCCTCTGTCAGTCTTGGAGAGGTAGCACCTGTTGTTTTAGTCTAGTAGGGGCCAACCTTTCTGGCAGGTGCACTACAAAATAAATCTACACCCTCCCCAATCCCACTCTGATCTTCATCCCCTGCCCAATCTGTTGCTCTGCTTTCCTTTCCATGACCCGTGATCCCTGCTTATCTGTAATTCTGTTCTCTGCTTCCTCCCCTATCTCTTGCTGTTCTCTCTTCTCCCTCCCCACTTTGTCACATGGCACATGCAGAAGCTGTCCATGCTGCAAGTTGGCCACCCCCATTCTAGTCAGTGACTTTTTCTTGCCCTTGGGCAAAGGAAGTATTTCTGTACTCTGCCAGATCAATCTGCAGCATTTGCTATTACTGATCACCAAATATTCTTCAGAGATAAATAGAAATAACCTGAAATAGCTGGGGTCTGTGCTGTACTCTTTGATCATTTGAGGTTTGTGATTCAAGCATACCCCAGACTGCCCCCTTCTCTGCCAGCTGGCTATAATACTGTCTTTGGGCAACATCTGCGGTCAGATAGAACAAACTTTTATTCACCATTGTCTGAATTTGGGTTTTGTGTTTTCAGTTGGGCAGGTGAACTACCCAAAGGTTGCAGACAATTCCTCCTTTGATGAGGACAGTAGTGATGCCCTGTCCCCTGAGCAGCCAGCCAGCCATGAGTCCCAGGGATCTGTACCATCCCCAGTGGAGGCCCGAATTGGTGAGCCACTTCCAACCATCATGAGGACATTGCCAGCCCAGGTGAGAATGCAGTGTGTTGACTCTTTCTTTTCTCTGGGGGTCACAAAACCCTTTCTGAATTGGGGCAGTCGATCCCTAAAGAGTGAGGCACAGGGATCCACAAGATGTCATTACTCAAGCCTGGTCTGTGTTCCTTACTGTGTTTTTGCAATATATTTTGGTTTTAAATGGCACCAGTGAAGGCCTTTGATTGCCAGGGTGTCCCATGGTAGGATTGGGAAGGAGTGGGCATCCATGATGCTTTGGTGATGCAGGAAGCAGGGTCAATAAAAAATCAACTATTTAAAAAAATTAAAAATAGGATTTTTTAAACATTTAAATCAGATTTTTTTAATTTAATTGTTTTTTAATTTTTTTTTAAAGATGTTTTTTAAAAAAACACAAAAAACATGAGGCCATGAACTATAGAAGGCAACATGATGTTAGTCTGCCATGGACTATATTACATCAGACTTCAGACTAACATGTCAGATGTTAGTCTGAAGTCTGATGTACAGTCCAAAAAACAACAGGCCATGGACTATATTAGGGGTCCAATCTTATGAGGTTCCCAGAGGCTTCTCTATAGATTAGTAAGGATTAAAGAAAAGCACTCAACCCAATGGGACTCAGTGTTCATCTGGACGATCCCATTAAGCATCTCTGTGATATTTAGTTTCAGTTCTCAAACTGTGGATTTGTATCTCCAGAGATAACATCCTTGTTAACAGCAGTATAGGGGGAGGAGAGATAACAGACCTGATTACCTACCCATCAGTCCTATTGTCTCTCTGCAAGTTTGTGTACACAGAGTCAAGCCCTTACCTCTCTCTGAAAGTGCAAAGTTTCAAGAAGTTAAATGAATTGGATTGTTGGGGGTGGAGTATATCTGGGCAAGGAGGAGGAGTCTGGAGATGAATGCAAGGAGGAAAGGGCGGTAGAAACAAAAAATAAACATTTTGAGCTGAAAATTCCAGAAGTCTTGAGGGATAAGTTTCTGAGTATAGCTTCTCCATTGCTTTGAGATCTAGCACGGGAATGGTATGGTAGAAGGAAAAACTTATCATGGCAGCAGGCTTGTCAGGCAGTAAAAGAAACCCTGTTCGGGAATATTTTAATGAAGATTATATTAAACAACAAGAATGCACATTTTGTAAAAAACAATGATTAAATTGAGGCTTTCTGACCAGTGATTTTAATCATTATTTAAATAGATTTTGATTTAAATCAAATCCACCCTGGCAGGAAACAACACAAACTTATGCATTTTTGGGAATTGGTACTGGGAATAGTAACTTGGTGAACCCTATTAAGCTAAGTGTATATGACTTTCTGGGAGACAAAGGTGGGGGTGTTGGTTTAGAAATGGAGCTTGAACTCCATCCCTGCCTTAGGCTGGTTTGCTTGCACTGCAGCAGGTAAGGTAGCAGATGGCTATGTAATGGTGTAGACCTTGTCCCTTTAGTGAATGTCTCCCATAGATCATTTACATTGTGTTCTTTCCAGAAAACAGAAAGGGAGAACACTGCTTCTTTGTGTGTATTTCACACTCTCTATTTTTCCTATTTTGCAGGGTACATCACAGTTACAGATCACTGTAGATTCCAGTGAAGCACCTTTCCTACCTGAACAGCCACCTCCTCCCTTGCCTCCACTGCCTTTGCTGCCTCCCAGTCTCACCAATGGAGCTCTCGTTCCTGCTGCCAAGCCCCCACCAACACTTATTAAGGTACCATGGTGGGGCATCCCCATTTCTTTATAATAACAAAACTTAAGATGAGTGCTCTGCTGTGGGTAGAGAGTGGGAGTGAGACACTAGGTCATGCTCCAACACTGGAGCAACGTCCTGTGTCACTTGCTGTCTCCCCCTAGCCTCCATTCACAGAGCCTTTAATGGGCTTTTCTCCACACACCTGACGAGCATAACATTTCAGTGGCCACGATCCATAATATCTGGATGCAGAAAGCTTTTGAAGTATCTGGAATTGGCTGGGGTCAGAGATGAGAAGTCTTGGCTAGATGGACCAATGGACTGTTGGGCTGAGCAGGCCTTCTGTTCTAGTCTTTGCTCTACCCCTGTATAAGGTATTGGAGCTAAGTGAGCTGCTCTGTCTGCTTTATTGTTGAGGATCTAGGAATGTGGAAAGGCTCCTGGGTTATATCTGGAGAGTTTTGAGATGCAAGACCAGGCTGGTTTCTGGTTAGGGTTAGATGTTAATGTCAACCACGTTTTTTTCCTCACTAGGCTGGTAGTAAAATACTGGAAACAGGGTACCCAGAGAAGTTGTGGAATGTCCATCCGTGGAGCTAACGCCTTGGCTGATTATATAGTTGGGGATGGTCCTGCTTTGAGCAGGGGGTTGGACTAGACGACCTCCTGAGGTCTCTTCCAACCCTCATTTTCTATGATTCTATGAAATGCCTTGACTGCACCCACTCTTACTCTCTTCCTTTTCCACTGAATAGCAAAGCCAGCCTAAGACAGCCAATGAGAAGTCTCAGCGCAGCAAGAAATCCAAGGAATTGAAGCCGAAAGTCAGGAAGCTTAAATATCACCAATACATTCCCCCGGACCAAAAGCAGGACAAAGGAGCCCCTCTCATGGATTCATCTTATGCCAAAATACTGCAGCAGCAACAGCTCTTCTTGCAGCTCCAGATCCTCAACCAGCAGCTGCAGCAACACTACAACTATCAGAGCATCCTGCCAGCCCCACCAAAGTATGTGTCCCACAACATTTCCCTTCCATGTGGAAGGTTATTGTGGTCCTCCAGAAGGAGTCTTTTTTTGGGTTAATCAGTCAGGCAGGAGCGTCTGAACTTAGCTGGTTTGTTAGTATTCACAGTTGGGAGTTCTGGGTGCAGTTAGAAGGCTCTGATCAGCTGGTGTCATATTTGCAATGATCAGGAAGCTTCCATAGGCACATACTGCTGCAAGTGTCTGTGCTTGGCTTCTTAGCATGAGGAGGGACGAATGGTGATGAGCACTTTCCATCTCAGTTTTGATGCCCACACTTTTTCTTTCTTGGTAGGCCTCCAGGAGAGCAGCAGAGCAGTACCAGTGCCCCTGCTGGGCGCAATCTTTCTACCACAGTCAGCTGCGCGTCTTCAGTATCCTCCAGTTCTGGTGGGCTGATGCGACAAAACAGTAATGCCACAGTGGCCAAGCCAGTGGGCAGCCTCCCTGCCAACCTAGATGACATGAAGGTAAAGGTCCACCTTGCTATCACCTCTAACACTGCTGGATCTCTAGTGGACATTCAGTAAGGACTGAATGAGGTGGCCATCTCAGGTCAGGGCTGAGGCATGCTGACAGGACAGTTTGTGGTGACAGCTGGCATTGCTGTCCTCCATTTTGTCCTGCGTATGTGGATAACAAAAGGGACCTTCCACCAGCAGGGCTGTCAGTTCAGGACTGTAGAGACTTAAAGGTTTGTCTGGTAAGGGTGGGAATTCTTTTAATTTGAATTCTGTTTTTTTCCCCTGATTAGGTGGCAGAGCTGAAGCAAGAGTTGAAGCTGAGAGCATTACCTGTCTCTGGCCCAAAGACAGACTTGATTGAGCGACTCCGAGCTTACCAAGAGCAGAATGGCATAGCCAATCAAGCAGCCACCACATCCAAGCCCAGTGCAACAGCCGTCATCCCAAAAGCTGCTGAAGTGATGGTTGCCTTTCCAGCTACCAGGCTGAGCACAGGGTCAGCATTGGTCACTGCTGGCATCACACCAGCAGAGGTTGTCGTGGCCACTGTCACTGGCAATGGTGTGATGAAGTTTGGCAGCACAGGCTCAACCCCACCTGTTTCTCCCACCCCATCAGAACGCTCTCAGATGAGCACTGGGGACGAGACCTCAGCCACCGGAGATGCCTTTGGGGAGATGGTAACTTCGCCTCTGACCCAGCTCACCCTGCAAGCATCTCCAATGCAGTTCGTGGTGAAGGAAGAGAGCTCCAAAGTTACCTACTGTAGTGGAAATCCAGTCCCCAAGTCAGAACAGAGCAGCACGAGCAACAGCAAAGACATGGAGGTTCAGGATAAAGACCAGATGCTGCAGGAGAAAGACAAGCAAATTGAGGAACTCACTCGAATGCTGAAACAGAAGCAGCAGCTGGTAGAGATGCTGAGGCTGCAGCTGGAGCAAGAGAAACGGTCACAGCAGCTGCTTCCAGCCATGGCTACTGGAGGAGATGGAGCTGTCCCCATTCCCAACTCGATGGTGTTCGACATCCCGGTGAAAAGTGAAAACGGTTTCCTGAGTTGCCAGTCTGCAGAGCAGCCCAATGGCCAAACAGACCAATACGCTCCTGTGCTGACCGCTAGCCAAATGGACACTTCAGATCCAAGCTCAGTGCCAAAGAAAGAGGTGATGGTGAAGCAGGAGGTACTGGCGGCAGAAACAGAGCCACCATGCCAGTCCCACAGTCCACGGATCTTCCTTGGTCAGCAGGGGGGTGTCTTGAGTAACTTCATCAAGGGGGCTCCTCCCCCTACCCTCATCACAGATTCCACAGGGACCCACATCGTCCTTACAGTGACCAATCAGAGTTCAGGGAGGCGGGGCCTCTCTCCACAGGAGAAAGTGAACAGTAGCTGCACAACATTGCAGGTAGGCATGTGTTGGTTCTTCCCTCTCATAGTTTCATAGTTTTAGGGTCGGAAGGGACCTAATAGATCTTCTAGCCCGACCCCCCGCCAGGGCGGGAGAACAACAAAAGAACCCTAAACAAAAAAAACGGGACTCAAATGAGTCCAGCCAGGTAGGTACCCAGCCTCTTCTTAAAGACCCCCAGGGTAGGGGCCAGCACCACCTCCCTTGGAAGTTGGTTCCAGCTCCTAGCCGCCCTAACTGTGAAGTAGTTTTTTCGGATGTCCAATCTGTACCTCCTCTCCATCAGCTTGTGCCTATTACTCCTTGTTATGCCAGCGGGGGCTAGGGGAAACAGTGTCTCCCCCAAACCCTTCTGGTTCCCCCTAGTGAGTTTATAGACGGTCACCAGGTCCCCCCTCAGCCTTCTCTTGTGGAGGCTGAATAGGTTCAAGTCCCGCAGTCTCTCACTGTAGGGTCTGCCCTGTTGTCCCCGGATCATGCGGGTGGCCCTCCTCTGGACCCTCTCCATGTTGTCCACATCCCTCCTGAAATGGGGCGCACAGAACTGGACACAATACTCCAGCTGCGGCCTGACCAGCGTCGCATAGAGGGGGAGGATCACCTCCCTGGCTCTACTCGAGATGCACCTGTGGATGCACGACAAGGTCCGGTTAGCCCTGCCAACCATGACCTCGCATTGTCGGCCCATGTTCATCTTGGAGTCAATAATGACACCAAGATCCCTTTCCGCCTCCGTGCTCTCAAGTAGGGAGCTCCCCATCGTATAAGTGTGCTGCTGGTTCCTACTACCCAAGTGCAGCACCCTGCACTTGTCCGTATTGAAACACATCCTGTTCCTGTTTGCCCACCCCTGTAACCTATCCAGATCCTTCTGCAATCTCTCTCTCCCTGCTAGCGTGCTCACCTCCCCCCAAATTTTGGTGTCATCAGCGAATTTAAACAGGTTGCTTTCCACCCCAGCATCAAGATCGCTGATGAAGAAATTGAACAGCGCAGGCCCCAGGACCGAGCCCTGGGGGACTCCACGGTGTCCACGGTACAAATCTCTTGTACTGTCTCTTCCTTGCTAGCCTAGTCCTGATCATTATCACCGAGGACTCATAGCACCTGGGTGTGATCCACTGGGCGAATACCATAGGTAAACTAAGCACAAGCTTGGTGCTCTTATGGTTGCCTGTACAGTAGTTTGTACAGGCAGCCACCAAAGCCTGTAGTTTGTGGAAACCAGGCTTGGTGTAGCTAAAGTTTATGCTTCAGGGCAAAAATGGACCCGTGCTGTGGGATGGGATGGAAGTCTGCACAGGCAAACCTTGCAGTTGAGCAGCACTACACCATTACTATCCTGGGGGTCTTCAAGAGGAGGTTAGATATGCATCTAGCTGGGGTCATCTAGACCCAGCACTCTCTCCTGCCTATGCAGGGGGTCGGACTCGATGATCTATTGAGGTCCCTTCCGACCCTAACATCTTTGAATCTATGAATCTATGAATATTAATTACCAGGTGTATCATAACCTGCTCAAGTCTCCTTTGAAGCACCAGGTATTGTCAGGGGTAGGCCACTAGGTTAGGTGGACATGCTGAGATGTGCTGACCTTGCTTTTTAAAAGTGCAAGCAAGAACATCCCACAACACATTGCTTTATGAAGAGGCAGGGAAGAGAGAGTTAGAGCTGTATAACTCTGTCCACTGAGGCTTATATACTGATATCTGAGCCCAGGGAATGGGAGTTCATGCCCAACTCACTGATGTTTTCATGGGCAGGCAAGTCAGTTTTTAACAAAGGTAACTTAATGATGCTCTCCAGTGGTTTTGGAAGGGAGGGACAAGCTTCAGGGCATAAAGCATCCTCATCACCTTCTGCTGAGTATTAATCTACCCCAGGGTAGTTTCTCCTTGTCCCAGAACCCCCTACTGTAGCATTCCTTACACTCTCCTCCAAAGCTGCCACCAGTGGCTGCCGTCAGTAACAGGTTCCTAACCAGTTTTGCAGTTGCTCAGTTCCCAACAGCAGGCGGGTGTCATTCAGTATCTCTGTTCTGCAGGACTGAGAACTGCATTTCCAGAAGATGTAAGGACAGGCTGACCTCATCAGAGCTTTAAGAAATCAGATCTTCTCTCTCCCCACCACTCTCCCTGCAGCTCTGTTCAGTAATATGGGGAATTGTTTCTTACGCATCTTTTTCCCTTCTCAGACGGTACAATCATCACCTACTAAAACTTCCAGCCACACACAGTGTCAGCTCCCTGTAGGCAACTCCCAGCCGCAGCCGCAACCACAGCAGCAACAGCAGCAGCCCAGAATACTGAACCAGCTTGTCAGGAAGGTAGCTGACTCCTTGCTTACATTTCTTCTTTGCTTTCCCTTTGGCTGATGCTGGAGTGTGTGGCAATAGGGAGAAGGGAGCACATACACAAACCAGTTCTGAGACCAGCTCCACTGCAGGAGAGACCTCGCTGCAGGGTCGTCTCCACCACAGGTTGCAGCTGCATAATGAATTTGATCCTCATTTGAGGAGTTGCCAGCAGATGCAGATCAGGGCAGCATGGCACAGCGCTCCCAGCCCCCATCTCCAGCCTTCTGCCAAAGCTGTTCTACTCAGTCACTCACAAGCACACCTCTTTGGAGGATCAGGAGCACCATGCACCTTTTTCTGAGGTTTCAGAGGTGACTGTAGATGAACCACAGGCACTGGAGCAGAGGATTCTGGGATGCATTGAAGGGGACTGAATATGGTGTTCATGGCATGAAAAATAGTCAAGAATCTCTGGCAATTTATTGCCTTTGCCATCTTTTCGCAGATAGTAATGACAAACAAAGAGAGACTAGAGTGGCTCTTCTTGAATAGCCACAGCTCCTCCTTTGAGAAATCCCACTAGAAATGCAAGGCATTTACTGTGCAGTGTGTACCTGTCAGCAGGTGCCTTTCCAGGGCACAGGGGTTGGAGGAGTGCACTCAGAATTGTCCTTCAGGCATAAAAAAGGTGCCCTCAGTGGAGATTACTTTCCACCTCTTCCAGGGACTGAATTGTTTTGTCCTTCCTGTGAATTATGTTGACAAGCTGTAATGGTAACATGGAGCAAGAGGAGAGCTGGAGAATACCTCTGCCTTCTCAAAGCAACAGCTGCTAAGTGTTCCTGTTGTGCATCTGCTCCCTGAATGGTCCAGATCAGTTGATAACCCCAGTCCATTCTGCAGCTCATCAGTTAGATAGGTTAGAGCAAGGTCACAAAGGTTTTTCGGGGCTTAGAGCATAGCTTCTGAACTGGCCCATGTCATGAATGGGGAGGAAGTGGCGTTGTCCACTGTAGTTATGCTGTTGGGGTCTGATGTTCTGGCTTCTTTGAAGAGGATGTGGGACTTGTGTTCACTCTAAGGGCCTTAGCTATTGCAGAAGTTAACCCAAGGCTTCTTACCCCTTGAATTCCTTTGGCTGGTTGACATATGTGCTACAAAAGTGTTTGCAGTAACTGTCCTATGCTTTTGCCTCCCTGTAGGGTCAGAAGCCAGGCCTGCAAGTAGTCACTGGGCAGATGCCTCCCACAGTATTGTCTTTCTCAGCACCTCCAAACCTGCAGCCCTTCTTCCTTAATGGCTTCCACAAAGGATCTCTGAAACCTGGTGCTCCTGTCAAAGCTGGCCAACCCAGTGTGCCGAAAAAGGTACCTATGCAGCAGACAGGGCTGTCCTTAGAGGGGGGCAAATCGGGGCGACCACCCCAGGCCCTGTACTTTGCGGGGCCCTGTGAAGCTGGGTGGAGCAGCTGTGGTGACTCAGCGCCACCGCCAGCTTAATGCCCGTTCGCTTCTCACCCACCCCCACCGCTGAATCCACTGCCATTTTCTTCACGTCCGGGGCGCATGAGGACGGGGCCCCGCTCAGGCTCATTTACCCCAGGCTCCGCACCCTGCTCAGGTTATCTCTGGAAGCAAACCCCCGTGCCTATGTTATGGCACCAGGGTTCAACCCACTTTTTCAGGCATACCTGGGGTTTTGAAGGCTGAATGTACAGGGACTACTCCTGCCCCAGCAATATTGCTCCATGTGCCCTAGGGAGGAAGAGCAGAGAGTGGCTTCCTAGGTGACAGTGCGGGGGGTGCAGAGAAGCAGCATTGTGGCAGAGCATTCAGGAAGCTGGGGCCATTATTCCTACTTTAGCAAACCAGCTGAGGTGAAGGCCTGCCCCAGCAATCTGATGTGTGCTTGGGCACTAGATCAATGCTGACTCACACGGAAGAGCTGAGTCATCAGTACTGCAGGTTTCCTTTGGAGGTCTCCCGTGCCAGCCAGCTTAGCCTGAGACATGATGCCAGCAGAGCCTGAGGTGGACACTGCAGGCTTTTCCAAGGCCAGTGTTGTGCAAGTGGCTCTGTGTTGCCAAAGCGCACACATCCCTGGGAGGAGCAGGTGAAGTAACAGGGTGGAGCTGTTTTGTGCAGAGAGAGCACAAAACACTGTGCGGGGAGTGCCTTTGAAGCTGTGGGGGGTACTGGAGGAGTCTCCACCCTAACTGAGGAGCCTTCCCCACTCCAGTGCAGCAAAGGGTGCTTCAGCAGAGGTTTCTGGTTGTGTTTTGAGGGGAAATGGCTGCAGCCAGGGCATAGCACACACTGTGCAGCGCAAGTGCTGGGAGCAGGAGCAGGTCACATATTCGCTGTGTTAGCTGAGGCACAGGATGGTCCCGTCCCAATAAGGTGGAGTGGCCCTGATGGGGACAATGGCCTGGGCTTTCTGCCTCCTCACTCCTTTGTCTTTTACTCTAAACAGCCCTCTTCGCAGCCAGGCTCTCCTGCTGCCTCCTCCCCATCGCAGATGGACCTTGAGCAGCAGCAGCATCCGTCCCTATTTGGGACCCCTCCGTCTCCCCTCCCTGCCCCCTCAGTACCAATGAAAGAACCTCCAGGCTACGAAGAGGCCACAAAACAACAGCCAAAGCCCCATGAGGTAAGAGCCAGCCTCCTTCTCTGGCTTCCTTGGGGAGCCTGTGCAAAAAACATCTTCTCTGAATAATAAACGCACATAGGTCACTGAATTCAGGGACAGGCACCTAGAAACAGAGACACTAAGACATGAGGGGTCTTTTCTAACTGACCCTGAACTACATGTAAGGGAGTCAAAGCACCTTCCCTCTGGCGGCATCTCAGAGGGGTTGGATCCATGTCCTGTCTCACTCTGGTCCCTCCACTCACTGAGGCGGAGGTGAGGTTACTATGGGGTCGTTGATATGGGGCACTTTGGGGCTGCTACGAGCACCTTACTACCCAGTAATGCCTTGGGGCTACAGGGTGTTGGTGCCTGGCTGCTGTGCACTGTCCAACCGGGTAATTTCCTCATCAGGGGAGAAGGGAGGGGGCAGGGGAAGGCAGCCAAGTTGTGGTTGCTGGGGAGGTCAGAGGTTAGTGCATTTTTTGAGGCTAATCCTACACTGTCTCTTTCTAGGAGAATGGCTGTTCAAGCCAGCAGATGGATGACCTGTTTGACATCCTCATTGAGAGTGGAGGTGAGAGAACCGGCACTTTACAGCCCTTAGCCCTCTGGGTTTGAGTCCATGGTTTGTACGGCCCAGTTGCTAGTATGGCTTCCACCTCTCTGCTGACCCACAGGAGACTGACATTGCTGCTGGTGTGCGGAGCTCCTGGTCTGGGCCCTTGCTCGTGCTTCACTTGGTGCTGCCCAAAAGCACTGGCAGGCAGGCAGGGGAGTCATTGTGGCTCCATAATGTGGCGGTCGAGTGGTAGGCTGGGCTGTGGCCAGTAGCCCCGAAACGGCAGGCAGGTACTTTTGACCGATGGAGCAGAATTAGGCACGGAAGCGTATCGGTTAAACAAAGAGATTGCTTTACTTACACCGTCAATGAATACAGCATAGGCAGAAAGTTAGCTTCAGTTACAACCGAACGAGAGCTCTTTAAACCGAGGTGAACAATTCAACGAGCATGCAGAACACGGAATACAACAATTTAACGAGCATGCAGGACACGGGGTACGTTGGGAAAGTCGATGACGGGGAGTCGTTGGTGGGTGATCAGTCCGCCACGTTCACTCTGAGATGGGCGCGGTGTTCTCCGACTTGGGCGGAAACTACTCTAGCTTTTATACGGCTAAAAGACCAAATTCTCGTCGCCACGTAGGAATAATTTAGAACCGACCAATAATGGTGTGTGTATTTACATAAGGATGGCGGGAGCTTTTCTGCATCGGGGTTCTCCACCGTAGCGGAAATTTCACCATGCCGAAAAGCTTCATTGTGCTAGAAAATTCCACTGTGCCAAGGCACTTAACTACTAAGTTCTGACACATAAGAGACTAGTTGGGCACTGGCTTAATGTGCCATAAAGCTCCTGAACATACCTGGGTGATCTCTTCTAGGTTGCACTGGCCAGTGCTGGATCCCTCTGTGGCAGGTTGAGAGCCCCCACAAACACAGTTGAGGCTTATCTGGGGAGAGGGGGTCTCATATCCCTTGAGTGGAGTCCTTTACTGCCCGGGCTTTATGTATATTTTTTCTCTACAGAGATTTCAGCTGATTTCAAAGAGCAGCCCTCCCCGGCCGGGAAGGAGCCATCTGCATCCCCAGCCTGCGCCTCACCACCTAGCAGCCACCATTCCTCTGAGCTGCCCCTGCAAGTGTCCGTGGGCCACCCTGTCCTAGTAGGTCGACTGGAGGACTTTCTGGAGAGCAGCACGGGCCTCCCTCTGCTGACGGCAGCCCATGATGGGCCTGAGCCCCTGCCCTTGATCGATGATCTCCACAGCCAGATGCTGAGCAGCTCGGCCATCCTGGACCACCCGCCTTCACCCATGGACACTTCAGAATTGCACTTTGCCCACGAGCCTGTTGGGGGATTAGCCCTGGACCTGGGTGAGGCTAACTTGGACAGTATGGATTGGTTGGAGCTGCCGGGGGGGCCTGTCATGAGCCTTGCTCCCCTCAGCACTGCAGCCCCCAGCCTCTTCTCCACAGACTTTCTTGATGGACATGATCTGCAGCTGCACTGGGATTCTTGCTTGTAGCTCCCTGAGCAGAGACTGAAGGGAATGGGTGTGGGAGGGCTGGGGATTGTGTGTGGGGAAGAGAGGCCAGTCAACCAAAAATGAGCCCCTAGTCTGTGTACTCCTCCCCCAACAGTGACCCCCAACAGGTACCAGAGGCCGGGGCTGGTACTGCTGCTGTTGGGCTTTTGTGCACGCTGAGCTCCAGGCAGCCAGTCAGGCCCAGAGCAGAAAATGGGGCTGTTGAAGGAGAGGGTCCGCAGGGGCTTTACAACTGGCTGGTTCCCAGCCCCCTCCCCTTGGTCTGGACACAGCTGGGATCTCAGGTGTTAGCAGAGGCATTTTAGTTTCCACCCTAAGCTCAGAGAAATAACAGCAGTGCCCTGCATGTGACCCTGGCAGGCAGGATTTCCCTTGCTCAGGCTGGCAGGAAACAGTGCGGCTGGGTCTGTTCACTCCCAGGGGCAGAAGGGGGCAGGAAGGCAGTGAGCAGCAGCTTGCTCCTAAAAGCAGTTTAAGGAAAAAAAGGGGGTTTATGCAGGTCAGGAAAGGTTCTTTGGGAAACCTTTACAGAGGGGGAGATGGGCCGCAGGAGTTGGAAGACAGGGGCACCTGGGGGATGGGGTGCAGGCTTTCTCCCTCACCAGGCCTGAGCTCTCAGGCCTGTCTCATTTCTGGACAAGGCTCCAGCCCAAAGTGACACTCAAGCCATAAACTACAAGCTGCCTCAGCCCCCTCTGCTGCCACAGTAGGGCTGGCTATGGAGTGGGCAAGAGTGGAGGGCCACAGGGGCCCCAGGAGCCGGGCAGCTGCAGATGCTAAAGCATGGGCTTACCCTCTCTCCAGCTACCTGGGCGGGGTCCCCAGGGACACCGCACTGGGCCCTTTACACACCAGCCAGAGCAGCCAGGCCAGGCAGGTGGGAGGTGGGGAAGAGAGGGCAGCTACCATTGTGCCTGGGAACAAGGCCAGCAAACTGCTGTGTGGAGTTGATCAGGGCCCTTCAGTGCACCACTCAGGCTGGGTGGAGAACTGGGCAGGCAGAGGGGCTCCCTTGGCTTTTCCACTCCTCCGAAAGGCAGACAGCATCTAGCCTGCCCCACTTCCCCTACCTGAGGTACTTGGGCAGGTTGGCACCGGCAGGCCCTGTACATTCCTCCCCCTGCGCGTGATGAGCTGCGGCACTGAGCCAGAGGCATGAGAGTGGGCAGGAGCTGTAGGGCAAGGAGTCCAGCGTACCCAGACTAGCCCCACACTGACCTCCTTCTGCACAGGTTTCCTAAATGGCCTCAGGAAGAGCCAGACAGGACGCCTACCCACTTCTGCATTCTGCTTGGGGCTGGCATCTGCTGCTGGGCTCCAGCTACACTAAGGTGCTGGGTATTTGGTCCTTCCATACGCTATATGTGGACTCTAGACAGCGGCTTCCCCACCCCTGGGGGTGGGGGGATGCAGTTGATGTGATCAGGAGTCAGGCCTTCATACACTGAGGCCGCCGCAGACCCTGTGCTCAGAGCAGCCTTCTGCCCAGGGCAAGTGTCCAGGGTGTTCGCCCAGCCGGCCTTGGGCACTGAGCAGCAGCAAGTGGAGTGTCTGGGCCTGGTGGGCCGGGAGAGGCTGAGGGCTGTGGAGAGCAGCTTGGGTTGGGGGTGAGCAGAAGCTGTTGACACCTCCCGTGAGGCAGCCTGGCAGGTCAGGGCTATGGCGAGCACCTGGACCCACCTGCCTTGGTGTCTGGTGAGCTGCAGCTCTGCCAGCCGTATTTACTGCACGAGCCACATTGGTGAGGGTTGGTGCACACCTGCAAGTCATGTCAGCTTAGCAGGGCAATAGCAGAGGCGGCAGCTGCCCAGCGTTGTAGGCTTAGGCTTCCCTAAAACCAATGCGATGCCCTGCAGCTGGCCCTTTTTTCCCCCTGCCTGAGGATTGAGGATGCCCAAATCAGGTTATTGGCAAATCAGGTTATTGGCCTAGACACTGCCCCACTTCCCTTCCCCTCCACCCACCTCCCTGCCCTGCCCACGAGCGCTTCCTGTGCAGGAGCTGGTGCAAGGGAAGTTGCAGCCTCAATGCCTTGAAACTTGAAAAAGCTCACAGTTTTGTGGGTGGTTCCTGCTTGGCATTCATCCTGCCTGGTGCACTGCGGGGATGTGCCCTGTGTACAGCCCAGAGCCACCCTGCTGGGCTGTTACTGGCAAGGCTGCCTGGTGTTTGGGGGGGGGGGGGGGGGGGGCGCCCGGGCAGAGGGAAGGAGCTTTTGGTTTCCACATGTGGCTGAATAGGGAAGAGTTGGCTGTCCCCACCCTTGCTATTGTAGTGCTTCTGCACATGCACCCTTAGTCCCATGCCTTCTCTTGGTCAAGACTGCAGCTGTGCCCATCTGGCATTACACAGGCAGGGATGCTAAACATGGCCAGAGCAGCCTGGCAAGACCGAGCAGCCACCTCCATCCCATTTCCAAAGTCTGGGTCCCCAGAAGAAGGACTGGTGGACTAGGCAGCTCTAAAGGGACATTTGTCATGTCCCACTAGGCTGTGTGCTGGAGCTGGGCTGGGCATGTGCTTCTGCAGTACAACCCATGGACCTAAGGTACTCATGTGCCACTGTTGGGCTGCAGCTGTTGCCCTTGTGCTCTGCCAAGGTTCCTTTATCCTTTGGACAAGAGAGGTAACAGAAGTGGCCAGATTCACTTTCCCAGTGCTTTTGGGGTGTAGGCGTAGTGGTAAAGTAATTGTGCATGAGACAGAGGAAGGAACTGCTGAGAGCTGGGATTGGGAGGTGCCTGGATTGCTCCCCAGCTGGAGGGCAAGGTATAAACACCAAGTTTCTCCTGGCTTTTCAAAGTCAAAAGAAGCCACTGTGATTGCTGAGCTCCCTCTGCTCTCCCCCAACCCCCAAGATGCAGGGGCTGATTTTTTGGTACAGATGAGAAGCTGCAGATAAGAGCAACCTCAGACAAGAACAAGTGCAATGAGCTCCTGCAGGAAGGGGGTAGCAAAAGTTCCTTGCAGTGTGGAAGAAGGGGAGCAGTGAGGTTCAGGACCCTCCCAGCCCTCTGCAGTCATGCAGTGTAGAGCACAGCGGGATGGTGCTGCTTTGGTTGGCTTTGCAGTGGGTCTTGGGGATGGGCAGCTCCTGCTGGGAAGGTGCTAAGGCTGGCTTTGGGTGCTCACCTCTCAGTGGAAGGCAAAGGTGGCCTGCTCTTGCAGGATAGTTAAGTCCTTGGCTGGAGCCATTGCTTCTGTGCTTGACTCTCCCCCAGAAGACCCTGTTGCCCCGCCCCAGGAAAAACAAAAGCCTGATGTTCTGCCTCTACCTTGAATGTAAATCCTGACTCTGCTGTAACCACTACTTGTTTGTAATGTGTATTCGATTAGCACGCACTCTCCCTTCTTCTATGCAGCAGCTGGCGAAGGGTAACCAGCACCGTCTTGGGCGAAAGGTAGTGCTGTGACATAAGATCTAGCATGAGCACTCAACTGGAAAAGGACACATGCAAACAGGTAACAGGAGAGAATGGATCTTCAAATCAAATTATTTTTTCAGTTACAAATATTTGGAAAAAAAAATCCATTTTATTAAAAAAAGATACCAAACCACTGCGTGAGCAGCTTCTCCTGGAGGGAGCACTGATAGGAGTGGAGTAGGGATCACCTTGTCTCTGCCCTCCCAGCCCACGGAGCTGGGAGAGGAGGAGAAAGGCTGCGTCTCAGGGCTTCCTAGACTTCCTTGTGCTGTGGCCTTTTCTGCCACTGCACGGGGACATTCGCCCTCTGTGAGCAGGAGGCAACAAGCCCTTCACAGACAGCAAATGTCTGTCCCCGCTCCTCTGGACAAGTGGGCAGCCTGGAGGGCAGGTACCTGGCACAGCAGGAGTGAATGAAGCTCAAAACCATCTGAGGCCTCAATGAAAAGAAAGAGGCCAACTGCGGTCTCCCAAGATGCAGTTTATTTACAAACCCACGGAACAAAGGAGAGTAGGATGTGAGTGGCATTTCACGAGTTGTGCTCACACACAAGTGCTTTCACTGTACAGTCAGACTCCATAGACCAAAGCTACCACTCCCACTAGCAATTCTCCACCTCTGACCTGGAGGCTCCTGCACACAGGTCAGAGACCCCGTCAGTCTCCCTGAGCCAGCTTAGTCCTGAACCCGCTTCCTGAGCTAAGATGCCAAAAATATACACACATTTCTAGAGATTAAATTTACAGCTTTTTGGTTAATAGTAAAAATCAACTAGAGGCTAAAATGACAGCATGAAACACACTCTGTTTAGAGGGCAGGCAGCTCCTGTCTCGGACCTGGGGGCAGAGACAAAGCCTATCCCCTAAGGCAGCTGGAGTTGGTACAGGCTGGTCCGTGAGGCACATCTTGTGAGCACCCTGCACGCTGGTGCACTGCAGCATGGGGGAGAGGAGACGAGACCAGTGGCGCTCCCCTGCCCCATAAGGCCAGACTCTGCTTCCTGGGGAGCTCCTGCAGTGCAGGAGAGGGGAGAGGCTGAGCCCTGGCCTGCCAGCAACAGGCTGCCTTCCCTCAGTCACCACCTCTTTTTTCCCTGGCAGTACTCCTTGCTGTTTCCAGCTTCCTGCCCGCTAGGCCCTATGTGCCACCCCTCACATGCCCAGCACTGGTCTTCCACCCATGAGCAAGGCACGCCTGAAGGGGCACTTGCCTCTTGCACACTCTGAACTAGTGGCACTTGGGAACGCTGTGGAGACTGCACCACACATGACAGCCCATGGGACACTGAAGGCAGAGGCCCATGGTCCAGGTATGAGCTCTCCCCCACCAGGAGACAGCAGGCGAGAGGGTGGCAAATAACTTACCCAGTGGAAGGCAGTGTGGAAAGGCAAAGCTGCACCCTGAGAGAGCCGGGCCAAGAGAGGCAATGCCAGGGCAAAGGCAGAGCGCACCCCTGGCAGGGATCCTCGGGCAGCTCGGCCAGTGCACAGTGGTACAGGCGAGGGGGAGAGGGAGAAAGTCCTTGTAAGTGCTCAGCGTTGAGCATTTACGCCAGCTGGTCACTGTGTCCTGCGCATCTGTGGTTTGTGCTGCTGTGGCCATGCAGCCAGTCAGTCTGTCTGTCCCCAGTGACACAAGAGACCCTGAAGTGGGCCTTGTCACTGCTACAAGCAGGAAGGGAGCTGGGATGAGAGTGAATGGGAGGGGCTCATCTTTCCAGTCAGGGGTCAGGGAGAGGGGAGCGTGTGTTGAATGTGCGCAGTCAAGAAGGTCCACCCAGAGACATGGGAGGGGTCACCCGTCGATGTCCCAGCTGAAGAGATGGTGTTTCACCAACATGTCCTGCACGCCTTCCTTCAGCGGCTTCTTCTCCTTCTCCTGCAGGAAGACAAAGGGCCAGGAGCTAGCGCCAGCATCCCTATGCAGTGAGGCAGGAGGAGTTTTGCCCCACGCTCCAGGTCTGTCTCACTCTACTCTATCCCCTCACTCAGCAGCACCAGGCCAGAACAGCGAGGGCCACTGGTCAAGTAGAAAAGGTCAACACCGTTTCCTCCCAAAGCCCCAGCATGGCTCCTGGCTGGGGGGGAGAGACAAGAGGGGGCAGGGAGCTGATCCCCAGAGCATCTTCAGCTCTTGTCACCCAGCAGGTTTCTGTGATCGCCAGGTCCAGCATGACCCTGCCACAGACTCCAGCCAGCTGACAGCAGAGGCAGCCCCACTAGGAAGGGACAGCTCTTTGGCATGGGGCTGGCTAACGTGCTAAGAGATGGGAGGGGATCTCAAGCTGACAACTCACCTCTCTCTTTAGAGGAAGCTCCCAGTCCTGGGACAGACTGAATGCAAATTTGCAGAGGACTCTAAAATGGGACAAAGCAATGGTTACACCTTTACAACAGACACCTGCCGCCATCCCGTCCCCCTCCTTGGCTGCCCTAAGGCTGAGATACCACAGGTCTGTGCCCAGGTGCTGGCTCCTGGATTCTCAGCTTATGTTAAGAAAACGTGAGATGGGGCCTTTAGCACTTGAGGGGCAGCTCTGGCTTAGCTGATCAGGTCTCTGGGACCTTGCAGGTACTCTTCGTTCCCTGCAAGACCTGGGATTGTGAGAACAGGACCCAAACACAACAGCTGCAAAGGCCCAGAACAGCTGCTTGGAGAGGTGTGAGCTGCCCCGTGAATCTCACTGGGCATTAACACCAGGGCCCCTTGCTTTGGGGGGACCCACTGAAAGGACCTGGCAGAAGCCTGTGTTGGGCGTGATAAAGCATGAGCAGGCCCAGTCCTACTCTTCTTCCACAAGCAGATGCACCCTGAAAGTTTTTGCAGCTGCACTCTGGGGAAATGGCCCTGCCAAGCCCTGGCCTCACTGTCATGGATGCAGGACCCCTCATCGCTGTCAGCACATGTAGCTGGCAGGGCAGAGCCATGGGGGCCTGTAGCTGTGGACTGCCTCCACATGGCTCTGCTCCACCCCCAGGCCAGGTGCTCTCAGCACCAGCTGCAATGCATTCACTGACCCCAAGAGCAATGAGGGGGCCGAGCTCCTCCTGCACAGCCGCTCAGACCTGCCTGGTTACACAAGGCACCGCTTGGAGCTTTGGCAGCCAAGCCCATGCCAGGGCTGAGGACAGCAACCAGCGGCTCCCTCCCAGCAGGCCACACCCTGCTGCTTGCATCCTGCAGGGCCTGGCTGGGAGGGGCCTCCGGTGGAAAGCAGCAGCCACAAACAGGCAGCCACCGCAGCTCACAGGGGAAGGAGGGATGGTGCGGCACGTTTCAGTTCTGCCACTGACATACAGCCAACCTGCCCCACCATCCCCTGCCCAGCCAGCCCCTGTGCTTGTTCAGCCTGGTGCTGGACCCCCCTGCCTGGCCTTCCATGTGCTGAGCCTGAGAGATGAGTCTTCTCTGGCAGGATCCACGGGGCCAGTCTGCAGCCTCCTACTTCTCCACCCCATTGCCAGGCCCTCGGGAACATGGAGGCAGCTTCTCCCCATGACATCAGACTCAGCTGTCTGTGGTCAGCAGCTTCCCCAACCCCGCAGATGCTCAGGAAGTGACCAGAGTCCCATTAACCAGTAACGCAGCCCAAAATAGGAGGTGCTGCTTCCACCACTGGAAGGAGGGGCTGGGCTGGGCCTGGCTCGAGGACATTTCTCTGCAGATCCACATGGGCCAGGGGAGGGGGGACCTTGCGCACACTCACCTGAGCTCACACTTTATCTGCACCCAGCCAGGACTGCGCAGGAAGGACCAGGGGTGAAACCATTTCTCTACTGTCTGCAGGCTCGAGCATAGCACCTCCAGCCACAAGTGCAGCACCTGCTCACTGCAGGGGGTTACAAGTAGCTACTGAAGGAGCCCGGCCACTTTGGGGGGCAACCTAGCTCCTTACCCAGTCTCTGGCCCACAAGGTGCCTCCTCCCCACATGGGAGCTGGCTGCCCAGGGAGCTGTTCAGTTGAGCCCACAGGGGCTGGGCCAATGCACCTGACAATAAGGAACCAACCACAGTCCCGTGCCCTGTAGCCACCAATGCTGGGGGCCATTTTGGGCAGGCTTGGCCATGCGTGAAGTGGCTGGTTTCCAGCCTTTCTCCACAACCCCCTCCCCCCCTGGTAGCCTGCCCCAAGCTCAGAGCACAAGCAGCTCCGAGGGGGTCCTAGGGCTCCATGACTCACTTGAGTCCCACGCAGATGAGGGAGCGAAGTTTCACGTCCATCTGGGCATGCGCGGTGTCATGCGTCATGTTCACCGACTGCACTGCCTGCGGGAGGAGAGGGGCCCATTACCCCCTTCCCTGGGGCCCAGGCTGTGACAGGGCAGCTGCCGTGACCCAGCATCCTGGGGCTGGCTCTCCCCATCATCTCTCTGCTGCCAGGGCCGGAGGACCCACGACCCCCTGGAAGCCAGAGCTTCCCACCAGCCCCGCAAACACCTTCTCGCAAGAGGGAATGGGATGGGATCCCCACGCCTGCCTGTGCCTCCCCCACAGCCTCCCCTGGGGCACCACCTCCTGCCAGAGGCTGGCAAGGCAGGAGCTCTGGGCTCTTGGTGGGACCAGAGCAGCCATTTAAGGTCTCTTCACAGAAGCCTCCCGGGGGCAGGGGCACCTACTCACTCGATAGAGCAGCTCCTCTGGAGTGAGGACTTTGCCATCTTCATCCAGCCTACAAAAAAGACCAAAAAAAATTAGAGCAGAAGCCCAGCTCATGGTTCCCGGCCAGCCATGCCCTGAGGTGGGCAAGACACCTGCCCAGCACAAGCACCCTGCAGGGACAGGGGTGGGAGGAGCAGCAGCCCCTGGATGGTACCAAGGGTGGCTGCAGTTCTAGATGGTGCCAACGGCAGGCACAGCCACAGCGCATGGGGACAAAACCAACGCACCAGTCCCAGACCAGAAGAGCCACCTAGCACCGCACAGCCCTGCTTTTTCAGAAGAGGGAACCCACTGGTTCCCCAGGAGGAAGGCACGAGCTTCCCAGAGGAGAGGGCAGCAAGGGTTTGGCAGGGCGGACTTGGGAATGGAGGTGGACCTGGCTCTCTGTGTGACAACGGTGGCCTCACCTGTAAGTCTTGCAGAGCACAAGGCGTGAGTACACAGAGTCGAAGTCCCTCTCCACCTCCCGGCTGGCAGCCTGGCAGGAATGGGACAGTCAGTGCCGCAAGAGCCCAGTGCCCACCCCAGCCCTCATGGACAGTTGGACAACCTCCCAGCACCATCCCGCCCAGGTAACAGCAGAGATGCACCTTGCAACCCAGTGGAGAGGAAGATTGTAAGAAGGCTGCTATCTTGTGATCCTCCCAGGTCAGAGCCCCACTTTCCCCTTCTCTCTTGGCCTAATAGCTCCCCCGAACACCCTTCTCACCTCCTCAATGAATAACCAGGGATGGCAGGGTCCTCCCAGCAGTGATGGCTTCTTTAGCCCATGCTCAAATATGGACTTCAGCGCTGGACAGAGCGTCCCTCGGACCAAGTCCGTCACCCCCTCTGTGACTGAATCGTCCCCGGCGACGGAGTACTAGAGAACGAAAGGAGCTGACACTGAGCATCTCAAAGATAAGCAGAGATGTGCACTTGGCCAAACTGCTCATCAGATGTGCATGTGGCCTTCCTTCCCACACAACCTGCACCCAAACGCACCCTGGCCCAGCTTCCAGCCAGCAGTCCCAGGACCAAAAGCTTCCCTGACCCTCCCTGGGGCTCAGACCTTGTACTGAAAAATGCCAGTGCCTGACTAGCAAGCCTGGGGTGTTAGGAGGTAGAGGGTCAGTGGTATGCAGGCTGAACTTTTTAAGGCTTGCTTCTCCCCAGCTTCCTCCCTCTCTCCCCAAGCTCTCACACACTAGGAGGCAGGGTCCCTGCCCCGATGCTCTTAGGCTTTAAGCACCCATGGACTGGCAGTCAGGAGAAGCAGGTTCAAATCTTTGCCCTACACAGTCACTTCACCTCTGCGCCTCACATCCCCATCTGCAAAAGGTGAGGGAATGAGATGCCCCAACCTCACCGCAGTCATGAGGAGGTATTTGTTCACTTTGGTGAAATGAGTGGTGACCTCCCTGCAGTAAATGTGCTTCTCCAGGGTATTTCAATCACTGGGGATCTACTGTAGGTGTGAAGTGGCCTCACCTGTGCCATACCGGAGTCTTTGGAATTGCCATTTTTATTGGAAGCTCGTATACCTTCCCATGCGGCTCTTTCAGCCTCCTTACAATTCAAAGACTGTGGCAGCAGCACACTTCAAACCCAAGAGTGAAAATGGATTATAGAATCCACGTTGATTGCAACATTTCAGAGGACCTCAGCAATGGTAGGAGGCTTCATCTTTCCTTAAAGGATGTTATGGGAGTGTAAGAGTGATGTTGTTGCTGTGATGGTCCAGAAATTATGCAAGGGGCAAGGATTTCTTAGTTGGTCTGATAAAAGATATCACCCTGCATAGCCTGGCTCCCTGAGATCAGACACCTGAGGAAGAATGGCTTGTATTTGAAAGCTTTTTCCCCAAAGAAAGCTACATCCCATAGTTGGTCCAATAGAAGATATCAACCTACAAAACCCTTGCCTCTCATTCAAAGGATAAATCAGCCTGAATGGTGGGACCAAGGAGTTCCAGATTCATCAGCTGAATAGGAACTGGAATACAGCTCTCCTGAACATGGCACCTGACCTAGCAGTTGAGGCCAAGGCACAGCCTTTGACAATGTCAGCAGGTCATTCCCTTGGACCACCTTGACACTGGCAAGGGTAAGAAATACTGGTAGGTCAGAAGCTTGTCCCTTGTTTCAATGCCCGGTGGGAGAGGAACGCTAAGCAGTTGGCAACACCAAGAGCTCACAAGATGCTCTTTGTGATTTTTTCTGAAGAGACAGGGTGGCCTTTTGAACTGCCTTCTACAGCCAAAGAGAGACAGGATGACAGCCTGAATGATTTAGCTCCACTCATGTAACATGTAGAGTCCTGGATCTAAGTGGTGTGCAGTCTCGAGCGTGGCTTTGCTAGTAGTCCCAGGCAACAGAAAAGGGATGAGACTGGCTTGCTGTCTCCATTCGTAACCTGCCTCTGATCAGCCAACTGGCCCAATAGCAGAGGTCAGTGTCTTCCCTCCTTAGGTGGGTTGCTGCTAACAGGAGTATTTTGAAGTTACTTTCCCTATGTCATGGGGTGTCTGAGTTATAGCACCTTGCGCTGGTAATGATACACACTCACCAGGACTTCCATGAACTTCCTGTGGACTGGGTAGCTGGCTAGCTATATGGGAAGCCCATGAATCAGCAGAGCCCTGAGCCTGGAGATCGAGGCAAGTGTTGCCACCCTGAATCTGAGGCAAGTGGATGCGTTTAGTTTCCTAAGGTCTGGGACAGGAGATAGACCCTTCTCTGCGTTTTCTTTTTTTGGGATAAGGACACAGCAGTGTCTTGTACTCCTGCAGAGTTGTTTGGGCCACTGCTGGGTGAGGCAACAAAGCCCTTTGCACCACAGGGTCTGAGAGAAAACTTTTGCAAATTGAAAGGCACTAGAGTAGAAATGGAGAGCAAGCTGTGGACTAGCCATTATCCAACACCCATGCACCAGAGGCAGTATTACACTCAGCAATGTGGTATGGGGTAGGAGGCAAGGCAGCTCCCAAAGGCTGTTGCCGACTTCTGAAATTTCTGTCAAATCTGGAGCTTGGCTGACAGGATGGTGAGAGACTTATGGAGGAGACAGATGTCAGGAGTTGCCTCTGGTAACAGAACTATTTGCATTGCTGATGATCTGGTTGTCTGTCCTGGGCCTACGGGATTGGTATTTGTAGGGCTTCCAGTAGGACGGTGGAGAGTAAAACTTCACAGATCTGAGGATGGACCCAAACCCTTCAAGGAAGGGGAATGCACCATCAGTCCCTGGATGGGAGGTTGTGGATGGCTGCCTGCAGAGCAGTGTTGAAAGCTGCCTGGCCCTTCTTGTTCAGTTTCCATCAGCTCCTCCCAGGTGTCCTCAAGCTGCTTGGATAAGAAAGGAGTCATCCTCCTCCACGTTAGGTAGACAGGGCTTGAAAGTCTGCCACCAAGTTCAGCAAGACCTATGGGCTTTGTGCATGAACAGAACCTTTCTTCTGTTCTCTCTTTCCTGGCACACGCCTTCTGTTGGCCTGGATTTCTCTGCACCACTGCAACCACTAAGGACCCAGACTTTGGAAGGACAGAGACATGGTCAAAAAATGGAGTGGGGGTGGGAGGGGAAGACTGCTCAGGAGGATTTCTCCTCCCTCTTGGAAACAGGCTGAACACTGGCTGAGATCTGCCAAAGCACTGTGACCAGATCTGCTTCACCCATGAGAAGGGAAAGCCTGGCAGAGGCTGGCACAGTTAGGAGGTCAAAGAATTGGAGAGAACTGGAAAAATTGGAATAATGGTCACCACTCTATCCAGGGTCTCCACCGAGATCCCTACACCATTGGCTGCTGGTGCCGAGGCTGGCTGGACTGCCTCATTTGGAGGTAATGAGGTTCCTTCAGTGGAAATGGGGGCAGAACTGCCACTGCCCCTCTTCCTTGGGTGCAGGCCTCAGGACCCCATGTCAGTACTCTCAGCAGCAGTATCACTGGGGACTTGGGTCTCCAGGAGGAGACCGGCTATGAGACGCACAGGATGATGATGCTCAAGGAGAGGGTGGTGCGCTGAGGTACTGCTGGGGCTGCCACTTACACCTGTGCTGGGCTGGTGCCTTGTGGGGAAGGTCCCCCGTTGTGAGGAATGGTATTCCTTGAATGGAGCAATACCTACAGCCTGGTGCTGACATTGCCTGTGCTTCTCCCTGCAAACCCTGCCCCAAAGAGGTTTTCATGTGCCCTTTGGTCTTTTGATTGGTTTTGGTGTCTTTGCTGTGTGTTCACGGTACCCAGTCACCTGGTGCCAGTCTACTGGGGACTCTCGAAGGTTTGCCTGTGCCAGAATGATACTCCCACTTCTCCTACATCTCTGTTTGGAGTCATGTCTGGACTGTGTTTGGCCTTTCCCTCAGCTGCCTCCAGGCACAAGTGTTGGTGCTGTGATAACGAGGGCTGAGGCTGGTACCAAACTAGCGTTGCAGCTCTCAGCACCATCAGCCTTCATGGCTGCAGGAACTGGTTTTGTCTGGCTGTGATCAGTCAGTGCTATGTTCAGTGGGGTCTCTCCCACCTCCTTCTCGCTGCCAAGCAGGAAGGGCACTTACTGAGGAAGATCCTGCATTGACCTCTATGGCCTTGCATGGAGTGCAAGATGGCCACTGGGTACACCTGGAGCCCAAGATAATGGTGCTGTGTGAAAGAATTCAGCCTTGCATGCATGAGGCGCCTGTGCGGCCACATTGGCATGATCTGCACTGACGCACTCAATTGGTATCTGGCAATTTTCAGGGTTCCCCTCCCTCCCCTCAGGTTAGCTGGGAGCTGCAAGTGCAGTTCCAGGGACCTTGGTCACTGCACTGGACTCTCACCCATCCCACACCCTGTGGGCTACCAATTTTCTCTATCCTTTACGTGGATGTTCAGCAAATACTTATGGACATTAAGTGCCACCTGGCCACAATTTTGTTTGGTCCTTGAGCGTTTGAGAAAAGCAGAGTTTCAGCCACCAACCAGCCTAAAGGGGCAATGGCATGCATGGCTTGTAGGAAGAAAGGCTAAGAGGTTTCCAGGATGACATTTAAGATACAGCAGTGCTTACCTCTTTACTCCGTTCATCCAACATCTCCACAAATTTTGCAGGAAACCAACCTATGTGAAGCAGACACAGGGATCAGCTTGAGACAGACTTTAGGAAATCCTTATGCAGGCACATACTGAACCCTAGAGAAGCAGCAGGCTGAGAGAGGGAGGAAGGGAAAGTGGGAGGACAAAGGAACTTGGTTCTTGTGGCCCTTGGAGCAGGCTGGGAGCCCAGCCTGAGAAGAAAAATAAGCTCTGGGATCAAATCAGCCTGGGCTCAGGAAATCAGGACAGCTGCAAAGAAGAGGTCATTATAGGACATTCTGCCAACAAGCAGCATGGGCAGCCTCCACTCTAGCTGTAAAACCTGCTGCCTCTGTAGGAAGTAACCAGCAAGACGACTCCCCCGCAACCCAAGCCTGTGTCCCCACCCACACCTCCTGTGCAGCAGAGCAAATGTGCATTCCCAGGCAGTTACAGCCCCCCCAGGACCTGCACTCTTTGGCTGCAATGCTGAGAACTGTGTGCAAAGCAAACCCATGCAGCCCTCTGGGAGAGGGATGGGAGAGCTCTCACTGCAGGCACAGCCCTGTGTCACACCAGCTTCCCAGTCCCACCAGCTCTGGAGCCTGTCCCCATTGCCTGGAAACCCTAGCCCCAGCCATTCTCACCTCTCAATCCATTCAGCTCCCCCACCCAGCAGTGCTCATCCTTCTGGGAGATGATCTGAAAGGAGGAGGGGGAAAAAGGGGACACTGACAACTTGTAACATGAGCACGTTGAAGAGCGCTAGCAAGGAGACAAAGATCTGAGAACTACCTGGCTCCCCCTGCCCAAGGGGTGGGGGTGTTTGGGGGGGGTGGGGGGGGTCTTGCCACGAGAATGGGGCTGGCAGAGGCAGAGAGAGAGGGTGCATGCAGTGTGGGAAACTGCTTTGTCCTCAGCTGTCAAAGGCGGGCAGGGGCCTGAACACCTGAACTTCAAGTCACCAGCCAATTTTCATTACAGGCAGACCAGACCTGGTGGGAACAACAACTTCATTTGGTCACCTCCAGAGGCTGAACCTCAGAGCCCCAGCTCTAAAAAGCATGAGCTGCTAGTGCTGGTGCCAGAGGACTAGCTCCATTAGCACCCTTGGGGCAATGTGTATTGGGTTAAACTGGGTTCCCAGTTCAAACTCCATCTGCCTACCACTCAGGACTGACTGAAGAGGGAGGGAGCTTTACAACAGGGGCAGGGTTGACAAGCATTCAGTCCTGGCCAAAACACACATGCGTTCATAAGGAAATCCTGCACCCCACCTGGCCTGGCCAGAGTTCCCACTCAGGTCAGAGTAACAGGCTACACAAACTGAAACCCTGCCAGAGCTATGGATGAGACTGGGCTATGGGGAGCATTTGGTCTCAAGCAGTAGCTAGAGGCCAGTGCCTATAGCGTGACCTCTTTGCAAGGGAACAAAGAGGATGCATCACAGTGGGGGGATCCCAACCCCTCCCACTTACTGTGATTATATCATTCTTGCGGAAACCCAGCTCATCGTCATCATGGCGTTCGAAGTCCAGCAGGGCCTTGGCACGGCGGCGACGGTTCCGAGAACAGGCCACATAATTCTCGTGGTCCCGCTGGTGGCTCTCCATGCTGTAGTCTGGAGTCAGATCCTGGGGACAGGGGTGAAGGGGTATGGAAGAGAAGCACAGAGAAACAGTAAGAAGGTGACTGGATGTACAGGTGACTAGATGCTGAGCCAGGTGTTCCCATCCCCACCCACCGTAGATCTTCTCCCTCCCTGGGGCAGACAGATTAGCTCTCCCTGACCCTGTGAACAAGCATGACTCTATCCTCCACCTGGGAGGGCCAAGGTATCCACAAAGACCCTGCCCTTGGCAGATCTCACTTGGGCCTGGTAGCTCTTCTGGGGCTTGGATAGTCGTGGCCTGGACAAGGAGCATGTCCTTGGCTCTGCAGCGAGGAAAGGGTGGAAGATGTAGGCCTCCACAGGGTGTCCCCACTCACAATGCTGCAGTTCTTGGGGTCCACACACTGGAAGTGCCGCGCCACCTGCAAGATGGCCTCACGCAGGTCAGCCACCAGCTCGGTCTGCTTAATGTTCTTGGCCTTCAGCGCTTCCAGGTCATCGTCACCTGGCACCAAGGGACAGGACCAGGGTAAACACACACAGCCAAGCCATGTTTTTCATATAAATTAAAATAGAAGTGCTGACAGCCTGTCGTTAGGGCCTACGCTTAAATCAACGTGCTTAATTCATTAAAATTGGAGGAGAAGGATATTGCTTTTTTAACAATACACAGGATCAGTAGGAAAATGCCTCACTTCTGAAGCCAAGTCAAGCTGCAGATGCATGCCACACCAGTTGTGCACTACGTTAGGTATCCATGTTCTTTTGCGTCTCACCAAGGCCTGATTACTATTATTTTCATTATTCTGAGTGCAAGTACTTTCAGTTTCTGTTGAACAGAGAGGCTCCAGGCTTGCTTCCTTTTGGTTTCAGAACAGCCTGCAGGTGCAAAGACTAACTTCTCCTATGGACTAACTCATTCAGAGTAGAGAAACCGACTGGAAGAGGAAAAACAAGCTTTCCTTCTGCTTTTTCAATTCCCAAGCTATGAACTAAAAGATGGGAGGAAGAGAAGACGACCTATACGTTCCAAGAGGAATGTGGGTTCAGATTTCCCAGAGGTGCATAAACACCAACAGATGCCAAGAGGCACCTTCTGGGATTTTTCCAAGCGTCTTCACGGGCCTCTCACATGCATAGATTTAAACAGGAATCAGGCACTTCTTTACATTCCACTGGGCTCCTTTCTAAAGGCACCTAAATACTTTTGAAGTCTGGCTTGTGTTTACCAGATATTATTGATCAATTCCCTATCCGCAAGAGATACCTCCTTTGCTGCCCAAATCAATTTTAAATGGAAAACGACATTTTGATTAACTAGTGTGCCAAGCACATTTAAAGGCAGTTTTATTTAATAAGGAAACACATTTCCAGATTTTTTTTCACATTTGTATATGAATTCCAATTCCCATCCAAATGCAGCCACACTAATCCCAACTACAATATTTTCACCTGGTAAATCAGGGGTGTCCAACTGGTTTGGCCTTTTGAGACAGAACCAGATCATGGGCTCCTCACATGCCAAACCTGGATCCATCTGCTTTTGGCGGTAGAGCAAGCACTGTCAAAGAGCTGCGGGGTCAACACAACCATTGCTTACCCCCTGCTGCCAAAAAGCGTGTCTTGTGGGGTTCCATACCCCAGATTTTAGCAGCAGACCTTCTCCCCAAATTCCTGAAACCTCCAGGAGCCCCACAGGTGGGATGACACTGCTCTGTCATCATTTAAATCCAGCCTGCATGTTTAACACCCTTGTAGTAAATAAATACATTGTTAATCATTTTTTTTAACATGAAAACCTGTAAGAATTAAGAGTCTGAATAAACCCATATAGATACAGGGCCTTCTCTGGGCTTATCAAGATCATTCTGCTTCTCAATCCCATTCAGCCACTCCATCCAGCTTTATGGCATCTGCAAATTTGTCAAGTGTTCACTCACTTCCATCCTCCAAATTATTAATGAAAATACTCAATAGGACAGACTCTGGGAGGGAGTGGGGCAACTTTACTTGACACGCCCCCAAGAGAACCTGGAATAGGACCCAGCAGGAAGGAGCCTTGTAGCTCCTTTGACGTTGGTTACAAGTCTTTGAAGGCTTCAGTCCTCACATGCTCAGTAGAGATTCCTTAGAGAGGCTGCTAAATTATCTAAAAATTCTGTCTGTATGAGCAGCTCCACCCCTGGGGCTTCAGGGGATTTACAGGATTCTCTGAAAGTTTCTCTCAGATGCTGTCACGGAAGGAGGTAGCACCATGGGACCAGGCACAGTAACCATGCCTGGTCTGCACTGCATGGCTTTGCTGAAAGAACTACTGTTCTGCTGGCAAACCTGTATGCACATGGCCCTCCAAGTTGTTCTGCGGTGGCAGAACCCCTCGTTTCAGCTGGCAGAACACCACCTCTCCTAACCAAAGGTGGCACCTGTCACTGCTGGGCAACCAACAGCAGGTGCATGCAGTCACGCCTGTGCCTTCTGCTGGCTCATGCGTTGCCTTCAGCAGTTGTGGCCGTACTGCCCAGTTGCCTCAATTGCTGCAGTGGAACCATGCAGATGTGAATGACCTTTTGCAGTTTCCCTGCAACAGCTACTGTCTGAGTTTAGCAGCAGAAGCAACCCATGCTACTGCACAAGTGTTTTCCTTGCTGGTGCTGGAGCACTGAGGAGAAGAAGGGCGATAGCCTCACTGGAGAGAAAAGGAGAGGACCTGAACCTGGTATATGCACATGTGTGGGTCAGGGATGAGGGAGGGAAATATAGGGGGTACCAGGAACTCAAGTGGGGGAGGAACTGCGACTGAGGGGAAGATGGGAGGGGCAGAATGGGCCAGGATAATGGTGGACTCTCCTATCCATAACTATTACCATGTCCAGGAAGGGTCTGTAACTGCTAGAGCACACTCCCATCAGAACCCACAGCAGAGTCCAGCAGTGAGACAACTTGGGACTCCAGTTGTCCTCAAGCAGCTGTAAAAACCCCTGGCAAAACATGTGCATCAGCCCCCTCTACACAGAAAATGACAGCCTGCTACTATTGTCAGTTACTGCAGTATCCCCAGTGGCAGGAGTCTGCATGGTGGAGCTAAACATTTCAGTCCATGAAAACATCCAATGTTCAGCAGTGGAGAAGTGCCAGAATGAATACACCAGGGTTGCAACCTTGATTCAGCCCCCTTTGTGCTTATGTATTACTACATATTAGATTTCTACACTGCCCTTCCCAACAAGGGCTCAGAGCAGCTTACAGCAAGAGACAAACTAACAGAAGTAGAACAGAATATGAAAAAAAAAGCTTCCAAAAATGATACCCCAGATTAGGTCGATCTGCCAAATGCCTGCCCAAATAGGAAGGATAACTTCATGTCCTCTGGCCTGTTTGGTGCATAGTGAAACTAGGCAAGGAACAGTGGGAAGAGGAAGGATGGTTCTGCGGTTGAGCCAGATGAATGCTGCCCAGATGCTAAGCCTGCTTCTGCTACACAGTTCCCATTAAGGCTAAATAAGTCACTCCATAGGTGTTTCCCATGGGTCTTTAACAGCACGAGCCTCATTTATGGGGTGCCCAACATGAGGTATGTTGAGTCTGACTTGCAAAAGTGCTGAGCACTCATCACTGCAAAGCCGAAATTAGTGGAGCTGTACTTTCAACAACCAAGACCTTAATGTCTCTGTGCCCACGTTCTCCATCTCTCAAATGGAGTGACAGGAGCCCCTCAACTAGCAGGGAGACTCTGATGATTAAAATAATTTAATGTTTGAAAAGCAGCAGGAAGGTTTAATGAGGAGCACTGCAAAAAAGCCCAGGAGGAAATCAGTAAGTCTGCTGTCAGAGCAAGGCTGGAAAAGCATGCAGTAGAGACGAACTGGGGCCACCTACTGAACAAAAGAGAAAAAGAAACCCATTAAGTGAGCAGCATTCACCCTGTGCACTGAATGAAGCAGGGATCTGTGGAAAGCACAGCATGAGACCATGTAATTAAGAACCGCATCACAATACATACACACAGGAGGCTGAATTAAGGTCACACAAGTGACCTTCTGGCATTGATTAGCTTTTGAGTGCTTGACTTTACGTACTGCTCTTTTACTCTTTTACCCTAGTTTATCTGTAAGCAATGCTCTACAATCCTTGGAGTTTACTATTAGCCTCCCTGAAAATTTGTAAAAGGCATTTTCCAGCAAAGCCAGCAGGATCCACACTTAATGCTACTCATAAGACTGGAAGAGCCAATAAAACTCAAGAAATCAAATGACATGGAGACCAATTTACCCACACAAAATTCAGGCCCCTTTCTTAAACTTTTAGATGGGGCAGGGGGAATCTGCCCTGATTTGAAATGTGGCTTTTTCCTCCCAAAGTAAAAGCTCTGTTATCTGGCATCCATGGGGAATGGGGTGGGAGGGGGGTTCCAGTTAATCTAATATGCTGGTTATCTGAGAGGCATCTTTGCCTGTTCAGGCCACCACCCCTCCCGCCATATCTGGCACGCCAGGGCTTTCACTCCCTGGCGTCAGTGTGCCGGGGGACAGGGAGGGGGGCCCCACACAGACTGCTCTGCCCCGGGCCGTGGCACGAGGAAGAAGTAGGACTCAATGAAACCGGAAGTGCCATAGTGGGACTTCCGGTTTTGCTTTTGCTGTGTCTATCGACAGGTGGTTTCGTTTTTGCCACGTTGATCAGCATGCTGGTTAATAGACCATTCTGGAGGGTAAAGTGCCAGATAACACAGCTTTTACTGTATATCTTATGGAGGAAAAAAGTTGATAAATCACACTCATGCTGGGAGGTTTGCAGACATTTGGAAGTAGCAACAGCTCTTAAGTGCATGCACAATCGTACCCTTTACTTGTGTCAATTTTTCCTTAGTGGAAGCATGATAGCTGTATGTTGACTTAGTTCACCAGCAATGAAAATTAAAATGAGTGCTTAGAGTTGAGATCACAGACCAGGCTGGGGTATGGATACTCATGGGCTGCATGTTCAGATTCCACAAGCAACACTGGACATCCTGCAGCAAGCTCTGAACTCCCTTCCCCCTCCCCATTCTCTCTTCTCCTCTCTTTCCAGAACTTCAGGCTGAGGCTCACCCATTTCTCTTCCCTATATTCAACCACTCCCTTTAGGCTCCTCTCTCTTTCTCACCCTTGCCCCTGACATCACAACTACCCCCACCACAACATTCAAGGCATATGTTTGTCCTCACCAAACAGCAGCGAGGTGATACCAGATTTCCTGCGCTGGGTCCTGCGCCGCACAATCTGAGTAGGGGAGGGAAGAGCAAGACAAAATGGACACGTGAGGAAAGATTAAGAGAACTTGGCTCAGGCAGACTGGCCACAGAAGGGTGGGAGTGTCTCAGGGGAACAGAGTGGCTGCAAGGAAATATCCGAAAGGTGTAAAACAGCATGGAAGGAGGGGAACGGGTCAGGGCAGACCTGGACAGCAGGACTGGGAACAGAATGAGGGTATCAGGACTCATGCGAACAGCAACTGACCTAATGATCCCTGTGGAGACACTCAGAACAGGACTGGACAGAGCACAGAAAAGAGCCCTGTACCAGCTGCAGACAGGGAGGGGAGGGAACGTCTTGCTAGGTTATTGCAGCAATAAATTAATTCATTCTGTATTTAAAAAGTCAGTATTTTCTGCTTTTTTTGCCAGCTATGCAGGTCCTTCTCACATGGGATGTGCCTGGCATGGGAAGTGTTGTGACCATGCCAGCATGCAGGAACTTTGGCAGGAAGAAAAGTGAAGGTTGGTGATCCTCTCAGCCTGATCATAGCACTCCCCCCTTCCCATCCTCTGCAAGACATAGATGGAGGCAGCAGGAGCAGGGAAGTTTATCCTGGAGCTAAAGCCAATTGACGCAGGATGGCCTTGCATGGGCAGACAGCAGAGGGCCATTGAGCCCAGAAGGCAGTGCTATAAAGGGAATCTGGAACTCCAGACTGCAGGGGCAGGGAAGACCCCACACACTCACCTTGGAGATATTATTGACAGCGGCACTGGGGTTGAGCAGCTGCCCCTGGTCAGCAATGAGGTAAGCCAGGTGCTTGCGGCGCTGGGTCTCCACTGCTACATCCGTCAGCGAGCCCGCAACACGCATGGCCTCCCGCAGCAGCACGTCTGCGTCCTCAATCTGTGATGGGATGTCTGACAGCGTGTTGAAGATGGATGCAGAGTTCTCTGACTGGATAAGCTCATCTTCCTGCAGGAGTGGAAAGAAAAAGTCACTATCCATATGACACATGGAGCAAGTCAGCCACTCTCATAAGAGGAGGATATTCAGCAGACCCCTCAGGGCACAGCTCAAGCAGGCAACCTAGCCCAGTAGTAACTAGGTACCTTCTTAAATGGTTATATTAGGAAGAAATCCAGACTGCCTGAATCAGGAGACAGCTGCATCTCCTCATGCCATTCATGTGGCTTTCAAAATAAAGCATCTCAGAGCATGTTACTAAGCATACCTGCAAGAATCGCTTCACCCACTACTGAAATACAGCTACCTTAGTGGGTGGGGGCAGTATGAAACAAAGAAGCTATGACAACAGCAGCACTCAGCAGCTACAGAATAAACTCTTCCCATCTGCAGCTAATTAAGTGCAACCGCCAGGTTAGGATAACCACATGTAATTGCCCAACAAAGCTAAGCCTCTGACTTCTGTGAACAGCACGCAGAATCCTCGGCTGAAGCCCTAAGTGTCTGGACTTTGTTTTTACATCTCCATTTAAAACCAATGAGAAACTCAGAGCTCTCCTGAAATAGGAAGGATGGGATAAGTCTCCATTTTGGAGTCAGAGGGAGGGAGCAGAGAAAATGGGGCACAGAGGGGTTGGGGGGGGGGAGGGGAGGGAGAAGGAAAGAGAAGCCATCTTTTTGCCTGAAGCACCCCCCAACCCCTAATCTCACACAAGGGATTGCTGACTGGCCTAACAGGAACCCAAACATGTCACCAGATTTGCTTGCTTCTGCCAGCCACTGGAGGTAACACCCAAACCAGATCCAGAGAGTTCTCAACCTTAGTGCCCTTCTGCTTCTTGGAAGGAGGCCAAGTTGGTATATCGATAGAGGCAGAAGAGAGGGTAGTTACCTTCATACTGAGCATGCCCAGAGTGACCTGGAAGAGCACCAGGGAGCCATGGTAAAAGAAGAGGTCCCAGATGCGCAGAAGCAGTTTGATATGCACAACACTAGCAAAGGAGGTGAGGAACCAGTGGAGGGTGATGAGGGACAGCTCTGTGGATATAAACATACAAAGGGAACATGACACATGGGATCAGCTCACCAGGGAACAAGGGAGCTCCCCAGAGCCACCCACCCTACCAGCTTAACAATGGCTTAAAACACTGGAGCGGGACTTGGGAGACCTGGATTCTACCCAGGCTCTGTCACTGGCTTGCTGGGTGACCTTGGGGCAAGTTGCTCTCCTTTCTGTACCTCAGCATCCCCATCTGTAAAATGGGGATAACAGCACTCACTTCATTGGCACAGCACTACATGCATACTAAGGAAATATTGCCTTGGGCATATTCAGCTAGAGGAGAGAGGGGAAATAACACAGCTGTGGGATTTCCGCCACATCATTTCAACACAGGATAGAAGGCTTGCTTATCTGCCCACACAGACAAGCCAAGGCCCTGCCGGTATCACCCGTCAGGAAATGTAATAGCTTTCAGAGCCACTCTACCAATGTCATGCTCTTGCAGGAGCTTGTCCAGCCGTGGCAGGTACTGCACGATGAGCTGACGCAGCACACGCTGGTCTGTTTGCACCCCCATGAGTGTGGTGCTAAAGTATGAGGCAGGTACCAGGTCCTCGATGATAGCACACATCATCCAGAAGGCATCCTCCTCCTCCAGGAAGAGCAGTAGGGAGGCTGCTACCTAGCAGGAGGGGAGACAACAGATTCAACCACACCTGCACTAATGAGATGCTCATTGGTACTTCAGGGGACAGGAACCATCTCCCTCACACTCTCCTTCCTACACAGGAGAAGTGGACTAAGTCTGGGGTTTAGGTGACTGAAACCTCTTTCACTCTCTGATCAGTGGTCAGCAGCTCTGCTTTGGTCTCTCTCACTGGTGGAATTTTTTTTCCTCACTGCAGTCAGAGCTCCTTTGCAATTATACTCAGACCACCCAAATCCCCCAGTTGATGCAATTACACCCTTCCCTGGATTAGGTTATTCCATTAGCACAGAACAGTTCCTTCCAAATTTCCCTTCCCCACAAGGAAAGGTTGGTTATCCTCGTTCCCTCATCTGCTGCCCTAAGTCCTCTGCTCCACCTCACCTACAGTAGAAGGAACCAACCCTGATGAAACCACCCAGAGCCGAGGCAAGTGGGATTACCATGCCAGTGCCTTGGCAGTATCCAATCTCCGGGTAGAGCCAGGCCAACCCCCGGAGTATCCTGCGCAGACGTGGCACCCCGATGCTGTTCATGTTGGAGAAGCAGGCATTGCTGGGCATGGTGCGAAGCAGGTCCTTCTCGATCTGGCAAGCAACCACAGTCAGAAACAGACCAGGCCAGTGTAATCAGATTAACAGTCACCTCCTCCCCAATGCTCCCTCTGGCTACATCCTTGCCTCCCCCACAGTTACGCAAAGTATATTCAGTACCAGTGAAAGATGACCTGGCATCTACTGGAGCCTGAAAGCCGTAATTCACCCCAGGGCTGGTACAGCACAGATAGGGAGAAGGCATCTGCCTCACAGACACCCTCATCAAGGTGTCCAAACTCAGCTATGGAGGTACACCCTCTACTGGCAAGGGGAGACTTCATGCTCCATGACCATGAGCCCATGGATTCACTACAGAGAACAGGTGCCAGATGGCCAGTCAGTGCCCTCTTTGCAGTATGGGCCTTTATCCAGTGGGCTCTGGATCCATGCCACTCCCCCACTCCCCTCACAGCCTGTTTCAGACAGGCCACCAAACCCCAACTGGGTGGCAGTGACTTTCTACTATTAGCCAATGACCTGGGCTGGACTGGAGTTGGTAACCTGAGGCAGAAGTCTTCCAAGTTGTCCTTTCAGCCTCTAGGTTTAGGGGGAAAAAACAAAACCGGAGGAGGCAGCTGCTTCCCCTTAGATGGGGATGTTCCTGCTGCCATGGCACTGCACTACAATGAAAGGACTTGCCCTTGCCCTCTTTGTACATAGGTGTTCTTATCCACACAATTCACTACACACATCCACACTGGACACACTATGTCTGAGTGGTACTTGTCTGCCCCATGTGTGCTTTAACCATTACAGCTTGAAGCTAGCCAGCAAAGTACTTCTCATGGGAACTCAGTCCCAAATCCATCTCTTAAGAGGAGAAAAAATTAACCAAATTAAAAGATGCAGCCCAGTCCAACTGCCCCTGCCCCTACTGTAAGGCATTAGGAAGACTCCTTGTATCCCCCACACAGGAAGCCATACACTTCTCCATGCTGAGCACAAGGCTGGGGGCACAAGCCGGGGTCCACACCTGTTTGGCAGCAATGGTTTCATCGTTGGAGCTGTTTTTCACAATATCTCGGTAGGACATTTCTGAATTCCTCTTCTTCTGCAGAGCCCCAGAGAGACGCATCCAAAGCTGGGGGAAAAGGGACAAGAAGCTCAAAACACATCATGACAGAGAGGAACCCCACCCCCAATAGACACTAGTGTCTCACCACATCCCCCCACTGTGACTGGGCAGTAGGGCCAGGCCAGCACCCCCACCTGTGGCCTCATGCTGTGTGGGATGCCAGCCAGGACCAGCGTGCGCAACTTGTCTGAACGGGGCAGCGTGACCTCAATTTTGTCCCAGGTAAGGTCCCCCACATCGTGGTTGTGTGTGAACTCCAGGTGTGCCTGCCACTTCAACCTCTGCTGCGGCTCCTCGGTCAGTGGGATCCCCAGAAGCTTGCTGGAGTTTGGCTCTGCACCATCTGTGACAGGCAAGGGGAAAGGCAGAGGAGGCAACAAAGCAGAGACAAGTGAAAAGGGCAGGGGCTCATCTCCAACAGAGACCCCCACACATCTGAATCTTGGAACCCATGGGAGGTGGCTCTGGGGATTTGGATGTGGATGCTCTGTAAACTGAATTTTCCCTCCAGAAGAGCCTGTAGAGTCATAAGACCATCCCTCCCCCAATTTAAGAGGCTAACAACAGGGGTAGTTAAAGTTAAATGGAAGCCTGACAGTAGCTACTCTGCTGGGTACTGCCTGGCTCTCCAGATCTGGCAGACAAAGGTATAGCGCAGCTTGTTGGCTGGAAGCTGGAACTAGGTATGACTGAGGCTAGACATAAGGCAGAATATTTTATCCACAAGGATGATTAGCCACAGAAGAATTCAGTGAGGCCTGGTGTGGATTCACTGCTACTGTGATCCCTTACACTGTAGCTGACTCACTTTCTCAATCAGTCTGCTCTCACTCAGCCACAAGACACTGGCTTGATGTGGGAATTTCCGGGTTAGATGGTTTTGCCTGGGTTGTTCAGGAGGATCAGATCAAAAATAGTCTCCTAGAATCTGGAGGACAGCCTAGATGAGAAGTCACTTTCTTTGCCCCATCCTTGTATTGGTGTTACAGTCCTGGGATGGGCTCCCCACAGAGGTCTCACTACCTCATAGCTTGTGTATACACGTGCACACTGAAATGATAGAGAAGTTGGGCTGGAAGGGACCTCCAGAAGTCATCTAGTCCAACAGCCTGCCCGATCAACCCCGTCCAAACCATTTTATACAACCCAGAATCTAAACGCTTTGTAAAAAATTACTGTCTACCCTGACACAACACAAGACATAACGCCCTAACCTGCCACAGCTATAGCAGAGGAATCACAGCAGCCAACATCCTGCTTCCATAAAAGATTGCTAACATAGGCTCAAGAGATCCCAGGTAGAGGGTCATGCCCCCACTAGAAGAAGGCAAACCCCCCCACATGTACCCACAAACCACTCCTGCCATTCATCTTATCCAAACTAGTATTTCCCTTTCCAGGGCACAAGCAATATAATCCTCTCCTGCCCCAGACAGAGGCCAGGTGTCCTTCCATCTGGGTGGTGAGCTCTGCCCCTACTCAGGCACCCCTGGCCAATCTGCCTGGGAGTTTCCCATCACCTGGGAATACTCCAGTCATCACTGCAGGCATGGGAACTGCAGCTGTTCAGACAGACCACTTGCAAGGTAATTTGTTTTTTACTGCCTCTGTTGTAGGTGTTAATAGAACCCTCTGCTGAAAAGCTATGGTACCCTTTATCATAGCAAAGCACCCCTCAGCAGTCTCTCCTTTCTCCAGCAGTAATAGTGGGCTAGCGGAAATATGCTTCCCTCTCTGGCAGCAGAGCACACTGGAGTCCCAGGTGACCCTGCTGGACCAGGAACCCAGTCTCTAGATAGGCATGCATTCCCAGTCAGATGGGCACTTTGTGCTTTAACAAATACAAATTGAGGAAAGACTGCAGGAAAGCTTAGGCAGAAAACACTTTCCCAAATAAACACATCATCTCCAACCCAACAATGCAACAACCAGGCTTCAACCTGCCATGAAGCATGTAGATAACCCTTAATAGGATATGCACTGGACCTGCCTGGCGTGGCCACCTGGTGTACAAGTGGTGCCTAAAATCCTTGCCTGGCTGCAACTGTCGAAACCCTGACCAAACCGTGGAGCACATAATAACATCCTGCCCCAGATACAAGTTTGAGGGCAACATCCGGGAGTTACACTTGCTTTCCAGTAGGGCACTGGTCTGGTTGGGGAATTTGGAATTAAGACTGTGACAACAGCTCTTGCTCCTAAAGCTATAAGAGAGAAGAAGTTTGAGATGAGGCTGAGAACAGAACAAGTGGCAGAACAGTGGCCAGGAAGATCCTGCCCCTGCACAGAAAGGTCTGGGCCTTACCTTCCTTATCCACTCGGAAACCAAACTCATCGTAGCGGAACTCCGGCTGGTCCACCGAGTCTTCCTTCTGCATGGGGCGAGGGAGGGGAGAGAGCTACTTTCTGTACTCTCACCACTAGGTAGGTGCCTGCTCCATACCCACCATTCCTTCAACCCTCCACCCCTGCAGGCCCCAGGAAAGGAGTACCCTAAGACCCTCACCCCAAATGAAGACCTTCATCCTCCTCCTGAGCCACACTTCCTACCTGCCTAAAAGGCAGCTGACCTGACCAGTGCTCTGACACCATCCTCACACAAAGAGGTATTTCTGGGCTGCCACCCACATCTCATCAGTCAGCTTAGTCCCCCCACCACACGTTTCCCCCATTACTACCCACTCTACCCCCATGCATGTAGGGTCACTTCATAGACAGTAAAGGGGCTTCTGAAGAAACAGGCTTAGGGCATGACTGCCCTGTCAAAGAACTGCAGAAGACAACATCACAGCAATGGATACTATGCTGGCTCTGTGTACACTACCCTCCTGAAACAGATAAGACTTAGCTGCCAAAGCCAGGTGGGCTAGACGTGTGACAAACCTCACTCTGAAGTGCTCACTGTGATACACTCAGCACTGCACTGACATATGGGTATATAGCAGGGGTCAGCAACCCCTGGAATGCGTGCCAAATGTGGCACACGAGGCCATTTTGCTTGGCATGTCGCGGCCAGCCCCGGCTCCAGGTAGCTGCTGCCAGCGATGGAGCCCAAGCTGCTCCCAGCAGGGCTTGCAGCTGAGCCTGCCTGACTCCCACCCGCTCCAAGCCCAGCCTCGGCCCTGCCCCCCACCAGCCGACCCCCCCAGGCGTGGGCCCGGCTGCAGCCGAGAGGCTCCAAACAGCTGTGCCAGGCTCCAGCTTGCAGGTGCGCCTTGGAGCGGGCAGTAGGGGAGGGGCCTGAGGCAGCACAGCCCCAGTCTCTCCCCTGCTCCCGGCACGGAGGTGATGAGCCCAGCGCAGCTGTTTGGAGCCAGCCCGGGGTCTGGGCAGATGCAGCAAGCAGCGGGCAGAGTGCAAACAGCTCCGTTGGGTTGCACAGCTCCGGCATCAGCTCCATGCTAGCGGCGATGGCACGGGCACCTTGGGGCGGATAGCATGGGCAGCCCAGTCTCCAGCAGCTACCCAGAGCCGGGGTAGCTGCTGGTAGCCAAAGAGCCCAGGCTATGGGGCAGGGGCACAAGCAGGGAATCCTGCCATGTACCCCTTGCCCTCATTTTGTTTTTCTGCCATGCCAGCACTCCAGCAACTTCTGAGGTAGGCATTGTGGTGTTTTTCGGCACTCCAGCCAAAAAACGTTGCCTACCCCTGGTATATAGCAAAGGCAGAGTGGGTGCAGCATGCTTCGCTGAAGTACTCCCTCATGCTGTCCTCTACTAGGGGAGACATGGCCATGGAGACCCCTGCCAATAGGCTCAGCGCCTCGCCTCACCTAAGCAAACTTGGCTAAGGGCAGGTTACAAAGTGCCATGGTTATTCCCCTTATTTCTCCCCTGCTCCACTGGTGACATGATCTGGACGTTTCTCCCTGCAACACAATAGCTCAACCAGAATTGGTGGGTGGCTAGAAAAACCATCTGAAAATGTCAACACTGACAGTCATGCAACAGCTGCAAAACAGCAGGGAAAGAATCCATGTGGGTCTCTTCAGCCTCTGAGCATCCCCTTGGCTCTATGACACAGACCGGCTCACAGCTCAACACATTAACCCACACGTCTGCAGGGAAACCTGCAGATCTGATATTTAAACACTGTGTGTAACTGCCTTGAACAACTGCCCCCATCCTGCAGCATTAAGGCTCTGGCAAACCAGCTGCAGCACTCCCCCTTTTATTACTCCAGAGAGCGGAAATCAGATACAAGTGGTGCCCTCTCCCCTCTGCTCTGTGTTCCCCCCACCCTGGTGCCCCGTACCTGTGTGTATTTTGCCAGGATCTCCTGCGGCCATATGCTGGGTGTGAGAGCTGAGAAGGGACCCCCAGCAGAGGGGGTGTAGTGCCCTAAATTCAAAGAGAGCAACACACAGGCAATGACAACAAGCAATACCAGACCCCTCAGCAGATATGAACCCCTAGTACTGAAACCATCTGCAGACAGTGGGGGGGGTCAGGTGGTTGCTATCCATCTAGGGATATACATGGTTCCCAGCACTGCAGTATCTGTGCTAGCACATGTAAGGAACTCGGTATCAGCACCTTCCATTCCCCAGGAACTCAAAGAAGTGTAAGTCATCGCTGCAAAAAGAAAGTTGCTTCCAGGAGGAAAAAGGGTGAACTCTGGGTACCAGCACTTCAGACAGATTCTGTTACTAAGGGAAGGACTGTAAGGACAATAATCGAGCCCCCAAGAACAAAAGGAAAAATTTTAGAAGCGAGTTGTCTGTAAGTCTCTCTGTAATCCTAGGTCTTTGGTGACACAGTGCCCCCTACTGTCACGCTGTGGTATTCATTCAAGAAGTGAGTGCCATCTGCCTTGTCACCAGCCCCAATTCTTGTGGCAATGGGCAAGCCCTGGAGTGCTACCAGCCAAGGCCTGGTCCAGGTTTCAGCTGGGAGCGGAGGAGATCACAGTTCTCCAAAGGGGTTATATCTCTCCCCAGCTTCTTTCTCCAGGGAATGTAATTCCAGGAGACCTGGGGGAAGGGAGGGAGGGGGTAACAGGGATGATTTCAGGTGTGGGAGCTCACAGCCGTGTCTGGAAGCTTACTTATATAGTTGAGAACATCACACCCTGCTACAGTCTCAGACTTCGCCCCCTTCAACAGCTCCCCGTTCAAACAAGAATGCTGAGTTTAGGAGTCAGAACAGGACCCTCTCCTCCTGCCCCATGCCATGGGGAGTGTCACTACCCCTGGGAAGGGGCTGGCTTCACTACCTGACATAGCACTCCTTCCTCACCTACCTCAGCCAGTCCTCCAGGGAGCAAGATGATGGTGGAGGAGGAACTGCTGCACGGGGGCCCAGCAAGGGAAGGAAGAACTGTGCGTACAGAGTGGGAGAACTAGACTCAGGCCTAGGCTGAAAGGTGCAGCTGCTTGCTGCTGTACCAGTGCCCATCCCACCGCAACCTCCTTTCTGCCCTAGTGCTATTCAGGCAGCAGGGGGAGCAAGCAACTTGTAGGACATCAAGGCTGTCCCTGAGAGGAAGACTCTGGGATGGACAAAGAGCCAAGCAAGGCTGACAATGATGCACGAGAGAGACTAGGTCTTGGCCTCTCTCCCGCTATGTGCTCCATGACTGGGGTAAATTTCTGCAGGACCCAGTGCTGGGGAGGGAGGGAGAGAGAACAGATTCAGACTGACTGAATTAAGCATCAGAGCTGGAAGAGATCTCAAGCATCATCTGGTCCAAGCCCCTACAAATGCAGGAATGGTATCCCTAAACCAGGAGTGGCCAACCTGTGGCATGAATGCCATAACTGGGATGGGCAGTCTCTGTGGGTGGCATGCAGCAGATCAGGGAGGGGATAGGCAGCACAGCAGTAGATAAGGCAGGGAGCAGAAAGCCAAGCAGCAGATCAGGCAGAGGAACAGGATCAGAGCGGCACTTGTGCCAGGTGGGCTAGACAGAGGGCTAATTTGTGACATGCTTGCCAAAAAGGTCCCCCTCTGCCCAAGGCCACCCCTATCAACTGCTTACCCAGCCTCCTCCTGAAGCCATGATAGGCAGTCCATTGCCATACTATTATAACAGTAAAGGAGGTTTTTTTTCTGAGATCTAATCAAGATTTGCTTTGCTGCAATTTAAAACCAGGGCTCCATATCTTGTCCTTTGTGACATGGGAGAACTGTTCTCCCTTCTCTTTAAGGCAGCCTTTCAAATATTTGAAAACTGCTAACATGTGCCCCCTTAATTTCCTTCTTTCCACGCTACGCGTACCTAATTCTCTTAATCTGCTCATACGGTTTGCATTCCAACCCCTTTATCATATTTGTTGCCTACCTCTTGATACTCCTGAGCTTTTCCACATCCTCCCTGAAATGTGGAGCTGCATGCAATATTTTAGCTGAGGCCTAACCAGCACTATCACCTTCCATGTCTTATTGTGGCAAGGCCACAATTACATTACTTTTTTATGACTGTGTCCCACCCATTGCTGACTCGCACTGAGATTGTGATTCACTAAAAGCTGTAGATCCTTCTCAGCAAAACAAAAGCCCAGCCACAGTTAATTTACTATTCAGTATTTGTGAATTTAGTTATCCTTCCCTAAGTACAGCACCTTGCATTTGTCTGTGTTGAACTTCCTTCTGGCAACTCTAGCTCAGCTCTCCAATCTATCGAGATTCTTTTGAGATCTACTCCTATCACCCAAAAAATCTGCAATTCTTGTTCGCTGCATGTCTTCTGAGCTCAGGGCAGGATGGTAAAGAAAGGAGGGAGGACATTTTATACCTCTTCACCTGACTACAGTGGCACATTAAAATGAGTTACACATTGCAAAGGACAATTCCTTGGGTCTCTTTGCTCACCTGCAGCTTAGTAAAAGCAGACAGACAATCTGAATTTTTATTGCTGGTTCCACCCTCACAGGCAGGAGAACCTGCTCTCTCCCTTACCCTTGGCTCACCTGACATTGTCCTAGAGAAGCACAAGTGGCAGAGGCTCGGTGTGTATCCGTTTGCCCTGAGTGTTGTCTTTTGAGAAGTCTTCTGTCACTGTCCTTTAAAACAAAAAAATGATGATGAGAGATATCTGTCAGCACCTGGGATCAATTATATAGGACAGGCCCAGTGAATTCTACCAAAAAAACAAAAAAAACCCCACCAAACCCACACACACTTCAGTCTTCTCCAGGAAAAATACATCTCACTCCACAGCCTATCAACATGGCCAGGGGGCTAGGAAAGTGGGTGGGAATTTCTGCTCAAACAAGCAATCAGTCAACTGGAAAGCTCAAAGCACTGAACTTCCCACCTTTCTTGTGATACCAATGCTACCACCTCAGACTGAAAGAGGAAAGGACTTCAACAATCCAGAGACTCTTCTCTTTTTCACTGACTACTGGTCACCGTCAGTTATTTCTACTTCCACACTCAGAAATCTGCATCCAAAAGGAGATATTAGAAAAAAACAATATAAATCTGAGGGAGTTCAGATAACAATGAGAGCACTGGAGGGACTATGCCTAACTTCCCTATGAGGACATGCAGAAAGCTTTAGAATGGCTTACAAATATGCAAAAAGTGTAAATGCTGTTAGGAGACAGTGATCATTCAGATTGTGTACGGATGCATAACTAGGCATAGGAGGATAAACACACACATTTTAGAGTGTTATTGGAAAACATTTCCTGAGGGAAAGGTCAATTAGACTATGCAAATGGCCTATAAAGAAGAGTGAGGGGAGCCTCCAGACTTGGAGTATTCTCAGAAGTACTCGATCAACAATGCACTGGGAGGAACAACCCATCTTCCAGCCAGCTGTAACTTCTTCTGTAAGTGGGAGATTCAGCCCAGGCAGTGAAAACACACGATTCAGTTTCACTTCCCTGCTCTTGAGCATTAGCTGGTCCTGTGCAGGGTTGGAGGACGGGGGAACATGGATTATGCCTATAGGGAGAGATTCAGTCAGGAAGCAGACTTGAGATATTGAGTTTAAAAAAAATAAATATCACAACAAACTTTGTTAGTTGATGGGTTCTGTAAAACTTAAAAATGCAGCAGGTCCGCAGTTATCTGAATGGCGAACCAGTTGCTGCCACATTGATGAGATGCTATCACAGAGATCCTGGTAATTAGCAACAATAAGTGAACTAGGAGAAAAGCAGAGCAGTAGAAACTAAACTAAAAAAACCCCAACCCACTGATCAGTTGAGGGATGGGACCTCATCGTAAGTGTTGTTCCATAAGTATGGGACAACCTCATAAGTGAACGGTACAGAATTGGGAAAGCAAACTTCACAGATATAAATGCAAATGAAGAGTGGCTTTCTCAAAAGTGGTGTCTAAAGAAGTTTGCATAACTGAGGATGCACTGTGGCTAGTAAAACTTAGCGTAAAGTCCCATAGCTGTTCTGGGAGATTGTTTTCACATGCAACAAGAAATGCACAATGTTCATTCTTGCTAAATAACTAACAAGAGCAGCTGGTAATGTCCACTTAATGCCTGTACAGGAAAATGTCAGTAACTACAGCACTTCTGGTCGAAGAACATGAGGAAAACTAACTGCCTTATTCTTATTCTTGCCAGTTTCCATGAATCCCATGATAAATTTTTTACTATCACAGGGCTTTAGATTAAAAAATAAATAAAACAATCAAACCAAGGGCCCTCCCTGCCTAGCTCCAATCAGACGTCACAGGAACGGGGACAAAGGGTTCTGGGGGACAGACGCTGCTCCTCCCCACTAGAAGTTACACATTACAGGAAGCCATCAAAGGTGGAACATGAACAATTTCCTGCCAAGGCTTTCCTGAGCTGTTTTTCTTCAGTCTGGCAGCCCGAGGTAACTGCACTCTCCTGATGCCCAGACGCATGCTATGACGACTCCTGGCTTTGTGACGTGCTGAATTCCCCCAGGAAGCAGACATCCCTGGCACTGTGGGTACTTCAAAATCCTAGCTGGGCAGCATGGAAACCACTGCAACAGAGCAGAGAGTGGCAGCTAGAGAGGATGCATGTGAACAGAGCTCCTTCTTTAGCTGAGCATCTGTCTGAATAGGAATCACCCGACACGGGCAGTAGCTGAGGGTCAGGTGTGTCAGCAGAGACACTCAGAGCGCTAATGGGAATTTCCACCACACACGGGGAGAGAAGAAAAAGGATCAACTTCTTCAGAGGGAGAACCAGCTGAAACCTATGCACAGCACCTGCCCACACGGTGCCCCACGGTCTCCTACGTAGCTCTGCACGTGTCCCCCAGCGAGGGATTCGATGTCAGTGCTGCACCCTCCCTGGGAATCTAGACTAGGAAAAAAGCAAAACAAAATACACACACACACACTTAACTGTGCAAAGTAAATAAGCCCAAAGCAGAAACTGGGTGGAGACCTTGCAAAACACATTGTACATGAGAGCTTTAGCAGCACGTGACAAACCTGGCACAGAAGCTTGGTTAGGAGCCCAGAGGCAGCCCCCGCCTTGTCAAGCCTCACTCTTCCACCACCCGTTTTAGTTTCCTGCCACGCTGACCTCGAGTTAGGAGCAAGCCTGGCTTGGGATCAAATGTAATGAGGCTCTTTTTTCCCCCAGAACTGATGTCCTCTTGTACAGAGCGACCCTCGGGCCACAGCCTGCCCTCTGCAGCCCCAGCGAAGCCAGAATGCATGTGTTGTGCCGCTTCTCCCCTACCCGCCTTGTTCTCCTGCATCTCTCTTTGGAAGGGGCTTCAGTCACCCTAGTATTTTTATCACTTCCCTCACTCACTCCAATTTGTTGCCCAGGGCCTCCAGCACCCGAGGGGAATACAATCTGTCACACAGTGTCAGCGTTCAGCTCCTGCCTCCTACATGCAGAGGAGGAGTTGGGCCAGCAGGGTTGGACATGGCTGCAAGGGAGATTTTTATTTATTTTTTTAATTAATATATTTTGTGTTCCAGGTCAAATCAGCCCCATTGTATCGATTGAGCAGAACTCAATTGTTCCAAAAACCATATGGATTGAGCAGGCAGGACTCAATCATTCTCAACACCACCTATGGTGCAACAACCGGCGAGCAACCTCCATCCCAGGCTTTCACCCTGGGATTTCAGATACTCCCAAATCCATTGGCAGGCATCCCATGTGCAGGCCCAGGGCTGGAGGACTTGGGATTCAGATGCCCCAGCTTGATCCAAGAGGCTGAGACACCTGATTTGAGCCAAAAGGCCGAGAAGCTGCAAGGGAGAAAATGCACCAAAACCACCTTGCATATCTAACCTGCTAGGGATGGACGGAAACGCCCAGCACTGAGGGGCCCTGCCTCAGCACAGCACAGTCAGGTAGAAGCGGAGGCCCTCCCCTTGGCCAGAGGCCGTCCCTTTTAACCATGAGCCACCCTGGGCCCGCCTGCCCCCACCACTTCCTCCGCCAGGGCCGCATTTCAGAGCAATGAACTTGGTAGGCAGGTTTTTCCTGCCTTGGGTTGCTATGGAAACCTTCCTGAAAGCAGCCATCTGGGACCTGGCAGAGAGAAAGACACTCAGCCTTGCTGCTGGCCTGCGAGTGCCAGGGGTGTGCAAGAGGACAGGGTGGGGGTGGAGGAATCACATCAGGAAGGCAGGTAGGTGCCATAAGCCGATGCACTGGATGTCAGGACACTGGAAAATGGCCAAAGATCCAAGTGTTTCTGTGCCTAACCTGTTTGTCTGGGGTTGCATCCTGTGGCTCCTTATGCTGAAACACTCCAGGGTGCTTTCTCTGGCAAGTGTGGGAGAACTTAGTCTGATCTTCAGTAGGAATTGTGGGCAAGGGATTGGTGGTCTAGCCCACTTGAATTATTTTTTCCACCCCTCTCTTTTTCCCCCCCAAAAATAATCAGGCCCCAGCCTGAGTTCATGCAAATCCTGGATACTAATTTACACTCTCAGATGAGTGAATTTACCTGGGGTTGAGGCATCTCTAATCCTAAACTTATAAGATTTTGAATGCATTTTGTAGGTTAAAACTTGGGTGATTTGTGCAGGGAAGATGTCCTTTGTGTAGTCTGCCATTCCTAAAGTAATATGGGGCCTTCTTAAGGGGTCACTTATTTTAAGAGGCATGTCTCTAAGACGGTGGTCACCAACCAGTGGATCTTGATCCACCGGTAGATCTCAGAGCCTCTTGGAGTCAATCCGAGGCTGGGGTGGGGGCTGAGGGCCCGCATGCATGCACGCGTGTGCCCCAGCCCAGCAGGTCAGTCTGTAGGGGAGGGAAGGGGTTGGGGCTAGTTCCCCCCACAGTGAGGGACAGTGCCATAGAGGCAGAAGCAGTGGTAAGTTGAGGGGGACCCTGGCCAGGTGGGATTTACTTGCTGGGGAGGCAAGCCCCCAAATAATTTTTTCTCCCTCTGCCTCAATCTTGCCCCCACTCCCTCCCCACAGACTTACCTGCTGGCTGGGAGGCGAGGGGGGTGGGGGGTAGCAGTGGCACCTGGTAGATCTTGGCTTGCTTTTAAATGCTAAAGGTGATCTCCTACTTAAAAAGGTTGGAGACCACTGCTCTGAGAGCTCCTAAATCCTGCAGGGGGAGGCTGCCTATTGCTGTTGAAATGTTCCTTTGTATGTGCATGTGTTGTTTTTCAGTTGTGCAACCTTCCTGTTGCATTAGCATAACTTGCTCTTAGTTTTTTAGCTAAATAAAAAAAAAAAAATCCTGCCATGCTTTATTTTGGTCCCCCATGCCCCCGACTTTTGATCTACTAGAGGAACCTTTACCATTTCTAAGTACTGGTAAAAGGAAGGTGCAGAGTAGCACAGGGCCCCTGCAGGACAAATCATGGCAGTTGGTGACAGACAAAGAGGAAAAAGCGGAGTTCAATGAGTTCTTCGCTTCAGTATTCCTAAGTACTGGCCAAGACAATTCGCCCAACTTGAACACAGATAGATGTTTAAGAGGCACCAGACCCCTAACAGTTAGTGCTGACTTAGTTAAGGAGCACTTGGAGAGACTGGATGGGTACAAGTCAGCCGGCCCAGCTGACCTCCTCCATGGGTGCTGAAGGAATTGGCCAGTGTCATAGCTGAGCCGTTGGCACGGCTGTTTGAGCACTCATGGTGCTCTGGCCAGGTCCCTGAGGACCAGAAAAGGGACAACATGGTGCCCATTTTTAAGAAGGGGAGGAGGGATGAGCCAGGTAACTTTAGGCCAGTCAGTCTTACCTCTATCCTCGGGAAAACACTGGAAAAAATCATTAAAGAGCGCATTTGTGAAGGGCCAGCAGGGGAAATGATGCTGAGGGGAAACCAGCATGGGTTCATCACAGGCAGATCCTGCCTGACAAACCTTATACCCTTTTACGACCAGGTCACACGCTGCCTAGACGCAGGAGCCAAGGAAAATGTCATCTACCTGGACTTTAAGAAGGCCTCGACCAGGTCACACGCTGCCTAGACGCAGGAGCCAAGGAAAATGTCATCTACCTGGACTTTAAGAAGGCCTTCGACACAGTTTTGCATCCTATTCTCATAAGAAATCTAGCAAGCTGTGGAGTGGATGCTTACACAGTCAGGTGGGTGGCCAACTGGCTTAGGCACCGCACCCAGAGAGTGGTGGTGGATGGGTCATTTTCGACCTAGAAGGAGGTGGGCAGTGGGGTCCCGCAGGGTTTGGTCCTTGGACTGGTGCTATTTAATATCTTCATCAGCAATTTGGACGAGGGTGTGGAGAGCACCCTCTCCAAGTTTGCAGATGACACCAAGTTATGGGGCAAAGTTGACACACCGGAAGGCAGGGAGCAGATACAGGCCGGTCTGGACAGGTTGGATCAACGGGCAGAACGCAACAGGATGCAATTTAACAAAGACAAATGCAAGGTACTCCATGTAGGGAGGAGGAATCCCCAGCACACCTACAGGTTGGGGGATGACCTCCTCAGCAGCACAGCAGCTGAAAGGGACCTTGGAGTCATAGCTGACTCCAAGACTAACATGAGCTGCCAGTGTAATGAAGCCATCAACAAAGCCAATCACACCTTATTGTGCATTAGCAGATGCATGACCAACAGATCGAGGGAGGATGATGCTCCCCTTCTGTGTGGCATTGGTCAGGCCGCAGTTGGAGTACTGTGTCCAATTTTGGGCACTGCACTTCAAGAGGGATGCAAAGAATCTGGAGAGGGTTCAGAGGGGGGCCACTCGTATGATTAGCGGCCTCCATTCAAGACCCTACTAGGGGAGGTTGAGGGATCTGGATCTCTTCAGCCTTCACAAGAGACGGCTGAGGGATGATCTTCATTATAGCCGCCTATAAGTTTATCAAGGGAGGACAACAGAGAATTGGAGATACGCCATTTACCAGGGCACCCCTAGGAGTAACTAGGAATAATGGGTACAAACTAGTGGAGAGTAGATTCAGGTTAGACAGTAGGAAGAAATTTTTCACAGTAAGGGTGGCCAGAATCTGGAACGGGCTGCCAAGAGAGGTGGTACTCAAGAGGTGGAGGACTTCAAGAGGAGGCTAGATAGACACCTGGCTGGGGTTGTATCATCTCAGCGCTCTTTCCTGCCTGGGGCAGGGGGTCAGACACGATGATCCTTTGTGGTCCCTTCTGACTCTACAATCTATGAATCTACTATGCTGGCTTGATTAGGGGTTGGACTAGATGATCTCCTGAGGTCCTTTCTAACCCACATTTTCTATGATGCTATGATTCTAAAGGTGCCAAGGACAGGTCACAACTGCCTTCTAACTCCTTGACATGGCTGTCTTGGGATGATCACTGTTTGCAGAGACATCTTTTCACAGCATCACGGTGCTTTAGATGTTAAAAATATCCAGTAAAATGTCATAGGAGCTTCCAGGACATAGTAGGGAATGTGGTGCCTATTGGAGGTGAAAGACCGAGAACTCCTACTCTATTGTCTATGGCCCATGGAGAGTCACTCCATTAAACAGACAATTGTTAGGCCACAGCTCCTCTCAACTTAAATTTTAAGAAATCTGGGGACAGCGATTCAAGTGTGCATAGGAGCCGTGTTGCTTGTCTTGCCATCCTCAAAACCACCTCCAGAAGTATTTCTGGAATTCAGAAGGGGTAATTTTTAAACAGGTTCCAAAACCAAGTAATAAGACAAGAGTATGAACAGGGAGTCAGAGTGGCAGCGGATGAAGAGATAGTAAATAAGCCAATTAAAGATAACACTGTATGAGGATTCTCATGTTCAGGAGAAGGAGGATGAGATCATGATAGCCCTCTTGAACCTGTTGTAAGTTAGCAACTACAGGGACATTGAAAAAGATGGAGGATCTTATTGGAAAATTCCAGCAAGGGTTAAAGTGCAGGGATTACTTGTAAATACCTAAACACTGAGAAAATGCTATGCAACTGTGGAGTCAGTATCCACAAGTCAGAGAACTGCCCTGTGGATCAAAAATCTGTGCCCCTACACATCTGCATTATGCTGACCTCACACCACCACATTCAGCTGCTCATGCAAATCTGATTTTCATTAATGCTATGCAGTCATAATCAAGGTGCAGTCAGAGAGAGCTGTGGGCAATCAACCTCTCTGATTTCTTTTCTTCATGCACATATCCTCTAAGTAACACTGGTCAGTACAGTAGAGTCCATGAGTCATTTATACACCAGACAGTCAGCCAAAGCAAGGGATCTTGTTTGATGCCCACCATCACTACTGCAGCTGGATTAGCCATGCAACTCATACTCCTTACTGCTGCAGCATAGTTAAAGACAGCTAAAAATCATAGTCAATGCATTGTGCAAGTGCAAAAATTCAAACCCAGGTTTCAGCTGAGCGCTCAAAGACATTTCTCTCGCTTGAGGACAATTTCTAGGCCAAGAAGCAGCTTGCTATGTCCAGATATTATGGAGAGACAGCTGCTAGTACTGAAGAAAAAAATAATTCTTAGCTTGTCGAATGCATAGATATGCATTTAATTATAAAGAAATTCTGTCCCCTTCCCTCTGTCACTTGAAGTCAGTCAGACTGGTCATCCTTGAACATAAACGAAAAGTAATCTGCGTGCAGAGAAAATTCCCACTTTATAGGTAAAAATCTGGACAGGTATGCACGTGACTGAAAGAAAAAGTGATATGGGAAATGTAGCCAACCTCAACTACAGCTGTTTGTAGTGCTCCAGCCACACCAGCTTTGTCAACTGTGCAAACATTCAGTCTTAACTGTATCCAGCCTGATATTTTTAAAAACAAGTGGTAATTTCCTTTAAAGAAAACAAGCCCAAAAAAAACGGATGTGAGGAAAGAGTTGCGAGTTCATTCCTCCTTTGCAAAGCTGAGCCTTGTTGATATTCTGTGCTCTCTCTCTCAGCTGCAACATGTAGGGTTTCAGATACCTGGTTTTGTGCAAACACCCAGATAAGTCTCCTAGTGTGTTTGTTCCGCCTGTTCTACCCTGTTGGCCAGGTGATTTCCAATTAACTCTGACATGACACCTACTTGCCATGGTGGACACAAAGCAGACTAGTTTAGAGCTCCCTTCTGCATGGCCTCCCCAGGATTGTTAGCGTAGGAAAATTCATCTTTTCTCAGGAGTGCCCTTCCTCAGCTGATTTTAAAGGAGGATAATAACAAGCATCCACTTGCGAACGGGTGACAAACCAGCATTCTTTTAGCAAGCAGATCCCACAGAAAGCAAAACAGTTTTCCCTCAGCAAGTCATCAGCAAAAATAAAGCTTATCACAATGCGTCTTTGAGTACCCATACAGGTCAGTACCTCCCAAACTTTCTGGGAGCAATGGGCCACTGTCAATCTGCAAAATTTCTCATCCAGTTCCCACACGATCAAATATAACTGAAAAAGGAATGGGGACTTGTACAATCCATGGGCCAGCTGCAGACCACTTCCCATTGCCTCCTGGACCAATGGGGGACAGACTGGGAACTAGTGATCCAGAGAGCTGAACAAGTCAATGGAAATCATAAAATGGGACAGTGTACTGAAGAGTTATACTTCTAAAATTCTTTGCCCCTGCTGTTAGATCTAACATATACAATTAGAGTCACTGGAAGAAGTTAGTATGGGAGAACAAGTGGTGTTTTGGGCTCCGTTTTGCTTAATTTGTACATTCGCTGGCACCCTACACAGAGTGCATCTCACAGCTTCCTTTGTGTCTTCAGCCCCTTTCAGAGTAGAAAGATGAAAAAGCTGCAGGACGTCATCTAGAGCGGGGGCTGACAACAGATTTGGCCCACAGAGCTGGCGGGCTTTGCTTGTGCTCACACCAGGCTGGGCAGCAAGGGGCTGTGCCAGGGTCAGGCAGCTTCCAGTTGTGCCCATGCTGCTGCCGTTTCTTCCTACCTTCTCAGCTTCGGTCCAACACGGGCTGGGTGGCTTCAGCCGGACGTCAACGGCAAGGGGGGTTCACCC